TCGATTATACACCTACTTTCTATATGATTTCGAACATGGCAATGGAAAATCAGCCATTGTTTACATTTACAAAAAGAATAATCCCATATATCCCATCACCCTAATACTAAACATCGCCAAGAACCCATGGTTTGAGAGAGGACTTTTTTGACATCTTTGGCACCATGGAGATCTGGAAATCTAAGATTGAGCTAAGAGTCCCATTCGACCCTCATCGTTTTCACTGCCACCTTGGCCGGATCTTGCAGCATGGCTCCGTTTTTTGAATCTGGCTGCCACATACTCTATGTTTGTATCAGTAGAACTAAATCAAGTTGATATTGATTGCTTTATGTATATATACACAGTATATACATGTACCAAGAACTCCCAAGAGCATTGTTTTGGAGGTTCAAATCAACTATATATATACTTAAATACATATCTCTTCAAAAGTAAATCCCTACCGACATGTGTATTTATCCATGGAACAATGGACAACTCGCCCATTGTCACCAACCATTCTGGGCAAATGGTCACAGTATAGTTCCCAGATCAGACATGTCCGCCGTTTTGGGTTCCCCAAATCTGAAACATAATTCATAGTCAAGTTGGTCAATAAAGTTGCCGATCATTTTGCGCCGGAAAATCTCATAAGCATATACATTGCTAATTTATATATACTCTACTTTTTTTGTAGCTAAACTGGTTAGGCTTAAATATCACCATCAAATTACAAGAAAAGGCACCAAACTATTCAGTTGGTTCCCCCAGAATTCTTGCGTATATGCCATGATATCCTGCTATATCCCGCTACATTCCATTATGCAGTACCATGTTCCATTGAAATATTCTGTTATAACCCATCATATTCTGGTTGGTGGTATACCTACCGCTCTGAAAAATATGAGTTCGTCAGTGGGGATGATTATTCCCAATATATGGGAAAAAAATGTTCCAAGTTCCAAACCATATATTGGGAATAACCATCCCCACTGATCATCGATATTTTTCCAAATATTGGAACATAGGAACATAGGAAACCAATTAACCATCATTAACCATTATTAACCATCATTAACCATCATTAACCATCATTACCCCATACTAAACCAATGTTCCAAACCTCTAATCAGTATTGCGCGAACGTCGTTCGCAAAAAACCGTCCAGTTGAGATGCCATAGAGCTGGATGTGGACCACATAGGCAGGCAGCAGCTGATCGACATCACCTTAGAAGAGAAATCAAGACCTCAACTTAGTTAACTTGGTCAATCAAACACTAATAAATATTTTAATATCTAAAAAACACAACTCGTCTTCCTCACCCCTGTTCATTCTTGAGATTATGTCCACCTATTGTTGTTGTTTGTGTAGTAGTTCCCGCACATGTGTATGCACTTTTCTGGTTGGATAATGAGCGTGTCTTCCAGGTTTTCTGAATGGTTCTAGGATGTTCTAGGGTCCATTTTGGACAGCCAATACCAATCAAACATTTTATCCAGCTAATAACCCCAATATACTTGGTCGGGGATAAAACAGTCCAATAAGCCTCCTATGTCACACTTAAACAAAAGGTGCTCGAATACCAAGTTTCCAAAGCAGCTACAGATTTTGAGCTAATCCTCCCGATATCTTGAAGATTTGTATGAAATTTGATATTTCAGTTATTTTTTTTGTCGCTGTAAATCAACTGATCAGAATTATAACATCTAACAGGGACCCCAAACAACCAGACAATGTGGTTGTTTACCTATATGATAGTAAAGAATCCCTGCAATTGGTTCTCTTTAGAAACGACCATGGTTATTTCTGGCCAATTCTCATAGTGATAAACCCAATAAACAATCCCTAATGCAAAAAAAACCACAAATAGCTGGGATTTCAACCATCTCCAGGTAGGTTAATGCATACAGTCATATTGCCCGTAATTGGGTTAAATTCCAACCATCCCCAAGTGGTAGGTTCGTGGCGTCGAGTTTACCAAATAATTTCAAACCAATTAATCCCTTCCCCCTGATATTAAACACCCCAAACGAAACCATTCTGGATGTAGGAGATTTACACTGATCTAAGGGACCATAGAAAGGTGTTGAATATGAATGGGCGATGGGATGAGTATTTAACTTATTTAACTACATAATCACATGGAGGTTTCCTAAAATAGGGGTACCCCAAAAAAAACCATCCGTTTTAGATTAGGATTTTCCATGAAACAAACCATCCAGCGAGCTTGGGTACCCCCATGACTTGGTTATAACCCGCATATTGTCATCTAGACTTCCCCACATTTACTACCAACATTCCTGAAGCCCCCGCGACTGCCGCGCCACCCACGTGGAAGGCACCGGTTTCAGTGACGGGCCGATCTCCGCCGTCGCGACAGCCCAGGTGCCGCTGTGCCAGCTGCGGGCTACAGAAGACCTGGGAGAGGTGAGCCATGGAGGGGTCAACTAGCCAGAAGTTGGGGATGAAAGCTGGCATCAAAAATGATGGGTATGCTTTTGGCAGGATTTAAGGATGAAACATATTGAAACATGTGGTTTTACCACTGAAACATGTAGGATTTGAACAATGAACACTTGTGGAAAATTGTGGTTTCACCATCAAACATGAGATTTTACCAATGAATATATCTATATACCATAGCCATCCATAGCCATGTTTGAAAACCATGCCTAGGTAGGGTAATAAGTATACACATGTCAAACATGTGGAGATGAATCGGTGAAAATGGCGTGTTAACTTATGGTCAGTGAGAAACTGGACATCCCTAGCACTTCTGGTGTTGGAGCTCCTCTACGGAGCAAATCTATTGTGGCCAAGGTGCCACCACCAGGCTCACAGCTTGAGGCGACTCCTCCTGAGCTACACTGTTTTTCGGGTTCCAACACTTCCAACACTCGATTTTTTTTTTGCGGATGTAAGATATGAATCCAGTGGAAAATGATGCAACAATTTGATATTCATTTTTTTTCAAGATTTTTCTTGGCTATTTCACCATCATGGCTCATTTCACCCCACACTCTTGGTGGTCATAGTCATATCCTGCGAGTTGATTTCGCATTGGGCAAATGCTTGGCAAAGTGCTGAAACTCCAGACAGGCCAATCGTAATCAAGTGGCCAAGAACAATCAGCAATGGTTTCGGTATAGATCAAGAGACCGAACTGGTTTCAAACAGATCAAACAGTACGGTATATGATTACATCATATAATATACACATGTGTATATAACATATACATATACATATATATATATATTATTATATTATATTATATTATATTCTATTCTATTATATCATATTCTAATATATCATATTCTATTCTATTCTATTATATTCTATTATATTATATTATATTATGTTATATGATATGATATTCTATTCTATTCTATTCTATTATTATATTATATTATATTATATTATATAATATATTTATTTGATTACATAGGACATAGTACATGTTCATATATGTTCACCATCCTGAGTCTCCATTGCCTTCCCAGCTTCCGGCCGCATGGCATCCATCATCGGCTTCAGCACCACCGCCGCGTCGGGGCCCACGAGCCGCGCCGTGCGCTTGGGGTTTCCAGCGCGGCCGGTGCTAAGGAGGTGCACCTCCTCTTCCTATGCCCAGGGCTGGAGGGGTTCCGGGTGTAGTGGGAGATGGGATATCTCCTGGGATGTTCATAAGATTTCATAGGATATTTTCATCAGAATGGGAGATCTGTTCGGGATATTAATGGCATGGTTTAGATTTCGAAAAAATGGGAGCTTGTGGGTTAAATGGAATGCTGCGTGACTTAGGGTGAACAAGCAGTTCACCAAGAAAACATTGGCACCTCAGCACCAAACAACGGCAACCTCTATTCTATGAAATTTCAACGAGTAAGTTGGGTAAAAGAGACCAATCTTAACTCCCCATAAGGTGTGCCAACTGTTGTAGCCTTGTGTCCGTGTTTTTCTTCTTTGTTCCCAAGCAAGAAACAATTATACCAACAACATCCAACAACAGCTTTTGGGCCAACATTTAATTGACATGTGCAAGCATGTGCAAGCGACTAACTGCCAGAGTCCAGACAAAACAACACATTCCCTTCGAGGTATCATAGTCAAACTTGAAGGAACTCCAGTGACAAAAAAAGGCTTTGGGCCGGAGCTGGCTATGTCAGATGACCGACCAGTGGACAATACCAGTGGACATTTTAAGTCTCAGAGCTGAAATAAACTGCAAGACAGCAAAGGCCATGTGCAATGAACGTTGTAATGAAAGTTTCACTTGTTGCAATGTGCTTTTGGTGCTCAGATGTGTGCTTCGTCGCTGTTCATGGCCAATCCTAGATGCGGTTCCAGATGGGCTGGTGGACCATTGATATCTCCGCAGCATGACAAAACGAACCTTCAAAGAACAGTTATTTTAATTTCGTATTCAAAGTTTATGCAGAAATTAGGTGGGAAATCGCATCCTACCGTCTAGCCTGTCTCCCTGCCTGTGGAACATAGAAGGCAATGCCGCAGTTGCAGGCGTTCTCTCCTGGGTCAAAAACTTGCCGGGATCTCTACGAGGCTTTGCCAGTCGGCGGTATGGAAATTGACAGATGTAGGGGACCAAACCAATGGCCTCAACCAACAAGACCATGATTTCATCAAACCACATGATGGCCCTCACCAGTTTTAGTTGGTTCACAAAGTCAACTGTAGGTACATCCACCAGTAATCTTATAGTTAGGAGGCTCTAATATATATATATATATATATATCTATTTTTTTTCTCCAAGGCACAATGTGACAAGCTGTCGCGGCCTGTGCAATAAATTCCGCTGAGCCCTAACCAGCAAAGTCTGGTCCAATGAAATGTCCAAAGTCAGTGACATGCATGTCCTGACATCGTGACCAGAATTCTGTGCAAATGCTAATGCCAGGGTCAGCTTCTACACTCGTGACTGCCGCTGCAAAACTCTCAGCAAGGGCTTTACAAAGCGCTGGGGGGTATTCCTTCAGCACTGAGGTCTTCCACCTACCTTGCGAATCCTTTCCAATGGAAGAGTTTTGCGGCAGCTCGTCACACACCCTGCCTCGCCAGATTTGATCCACAAGATCTGGAAGGTTCAGGGACAAAATTGATGTAGGCTTCGGAGACTTCGCTCCCAATAAGCCTGCGCAAAATCAATACGTCTTACACCCGGCAGGCTACAAAGAAACTGTGCTATTGATGTCCTCCAAATGGACGCTTTTTCTTCGTCCTTTGGGGGCGCTGGATGCTCAAGCGCGCCGCAGCCTCCAGTGACATAGAGAAGCAGCATCATGTGGAAGGAGAACAGAAGCAGCTGGTTACCTATGAGGATCTGACGCATCTCACGAATGGCCAGGCACGGTTTGCCCCAAAGATCTTGCAAAGTGCGAAGAACTCTCGGCCCCTGCCAATGTGTTTCCTCAGAACGCTCGTCAGTCGCCACAGCTCTCGCTTGACTCCAAGTCTCGCAAGGCGGGCCTGCCAAGTAGCCAATGACATACTTGGAGCGCACTCCGTGGTACCAAAAGCGCTGACACGTCGGATCTGTGACATCGCCCCAAGCAGCGCTGAGGATGATATCAACGGAAATCACATGTACAACAACTCCTTCATGAGCCTCCAAAATGCCGTCCAGAAATTCCTGGAAGTCACCCGGACGTCTGCGACCAGAAAAAGCGTGCAAGACCAAGCGATGCGCACCAAAAGCACGAGGCTTTGCTTCCATCGCGCAAAGCTCAGCCTCGTCCAGCGCCTGCGTCAGTTGCTCTCTAGTGGGCAAGGTAGGGTCAGGCCACTGCTGTCGCATGAACTCCCATTGCGATGGATCCATCATTTCGGTCATGACAACCTGGAAGCTCTGCACATCCTCATAGCCAAACGCCTGTGCATCCTGCAAGCTCGCATTTGCAACAAACGCCGCTACCGTGCGCTCGCACATAGTCCATGAAATAGTGTGTCGAGCCAACTGCTGCTGAAGTTCAGTTCGATGTCTTGGCACGTCATGTTGAAGCAAGCACTCAGCGATCGCTGCGTAGAGCTCGATGTCAAAGTCCTCCACTTCCCGCCTCAGGCATGGGGCAGGGAAAGGTCCCTGTCCTTGCAGCGGAGGAAGAAGACCATTCAAGCGATGCTCCATGAGGTTGTTCTCAGTAGATCCCACACCAGCCTCCGGGGCTATCAGGGCAGGTCTGTTTTGCAAACATCTGCGGCAATTCTCATTGGCATACAAATGTGCTTTGAGACGTCCGAAGGTGTGGTACTCGCGCAGACAAGATGGGCAAGCTGTAGTGTCAAAGAGCCACCGCAGGGAAGAAACCATACCATGGCGTCTAAACATGTGGGCTGCCTCACCAGCTTTGCTGCGAAAAGTACGGCGACAACTCAAACAAGCAAAGCAGGATTGTGCAGCACCAAAGAGAGGCTGCGCTTCAGGCTTGTTGCTCTTCTCAATGACTTGCTCATTCTCAATGACCGCAATAAAGGCAGCATGGTGCTTCCGGACCAGGACGTCATTCTTCCTCTGAAGGGCTGAGTGCAAGAAAGCTCTGCGCACAAGGCCCTTCCAGCAGTTCGGATGAAATTTCCATAGATATCGCCACGTCTCCAGGTTGGTCTCAGGATCCGGCAACGCTGAACTCTGCCACAACTGCTTCCATAGCCACTTGAGGTCATCCTTCACCAAATTGCACCAGTCCAAATCTGAGTGCAGCAAGCGCCATGAAACCGTGTGTTCACATTGGTGTAGGGTGCAGAGGTATCGCAGCCGAGTCCTCCGGAGCAGCTCGGTCGGCGTAGGCAGCTCGAGTTCCACACAAATCTCATCATCAAGCCACGCTGCGTCAGGTGGAAGACGAAGCAAGCGGCGATAAAGCTTGATGACTGCTGCGTGCAGAAAATTCTTCGAGCGCCAATCGGGCAAGAACCACGACTCACTGCCATAAAGTAAGCGGCTCAGCACTAGGGACTCAAATAGCTGAACTCGCTTGCTGAGCTCCACGTCCTTGTTCTGGAAAATGTGGCGGCGGTTGGTATTGAAAGCTTGGTGCGCCAGGGCCACACGGCGCCTCATCTCTTTGCGATGATCGCTACGATGGTGGAGGAGCCCTCCCAGATGAGCATATTCTCCAACAATGGTGATATGGAAAGTCTGCGACTCTCCAATGACCGGCAACGTGCCAGGACTGTTGGGACCGAAGTGCTCAGCCTTGACTCTGCGTACTCCGCGGCCCCGTAGCGACACCAAAAGTTCTGTCTTCCCTTTGGAAAGGTTGGGAGACATGGCGTGCTCGATGAGGGTGTCAAGCAAAAGCGAAGAGGCCACACCAGCTTTCGTAATGGCACCAACTGCGGTGGAAGCTTGCATCGCCACACACAGGTCATCCATCCATACAGGGCCGGAATAGACAGTCTGTGGATGTGTTGCACGCACATTTGTCTCAAAGGGGTCAAATTCAGTGTCAACGCCAATATGCTCCAAGAGATCATGTTGCTGAAGCTTCTCACGGAAACAATGAAGAACACGAGAGAGCAGAAAGGTGAACACCACATCCGCAAACGAGTCACCCGGTCTGGAGCCAATCGTTGTGCGGCAAACATCACGCTGACCAGGCATCTTGAAGAACGTGTCCGAGTGAATCGCACACAAGAGTCGCTGTGCCTGGGGTGTCATACCCGCAGCTGCCACTGCAGATTCTTCAGTGAGATGCTGTTGGAGCTGGTGCATCACGTCAGGATGTAGCTGAAGTCTTTGGGCGAGTTGCGCTATTTCAGCATCTGTGAAAGAAGAGCCCAGGGCAAGCGGTCGCAATACCCTATAGAATGCTTCCACGAGGTCCACCATCAATAGCGCAGCTGACTGTTGCTGAAGTGCCGCGGCACGCAGGTAGGCTCTGGCCTCATGCAGGCCCAGAGTCACAGGCACCTTGCGCTTGCCGCCTAGCTGTGAACGAGTCATGAAGGCTTCCAGCAAGTGCGCTTGCGTTTGCCGCACAGTGCGGTGAAGAGTCTTCCCAATGTGCGAGCTCACAAGCAGACTCCGGTACGCCTTGGGGTCTGTGAGCGCACCCTTGCCTTTGTGAGCCGGTGTGAGAAGGCCACCCTTGTGGCCCAAGAACTCCTGCCCATGCAAAACCAGCTTCAACAAGGCTCCATAGTTCTGTCGCGCAAGCTCTCTGGGACAACATCCGCAAAGGTCTGAAGGCACCTTGTCCAGCCCACTGGCTTTGTGTTTAGGCACCCGCCGGAAGGCAATCTCAAGGTCAGTGAGTGTAGGCAAATCATCCGTGGAGAGCTGAAGTTGAGTTTGCCTAAACCGCTCCAAGTTCTCTCTCCAGGTATTCCATTGTTCTTGTGTTCCCATGCGGGAACCTCCTTCCATGTCGCCAAAAAACTGAATCCAACGCCCCAACAATTGGGCCGGTGTCTCACAAGGCTGCCCTTCTTCATCCTGTAGCATGGGCAAAGTCTTGCGCTTGAGGTGCTTCAGGTTGGTGGGCCCAATGTGTGCCTTGACAGTCTGTAGAATTTCATTGGCCGGCGCATGAACAGGCAGAAGCTTGAGCGCTTCCGCAAGAGCACGGCTTCTTGTCTGGCGCAGCTGAGCACGCAGGGCTTTCGCATGCGCATGGAGTCTTGCATGAAGCTTGAGTTTCCAGCAAAGGAGAGTTGTTGTATAGTTGAAAAAAATTGCAGTGCCCCCATGATCTTCAGATTCACTGGATAGTGTCCAAGCCTTGAAAATGAAGAGCAGAAATTCAGATCGATGACGTTGACGCACAGCACTGAGTTGCTTCTTAGCTGTCACTCTCTTGGTCCTCAATGTCCAAAGTTCGGATGTAAAAAACGTCTTCTTTGGACCCCTTGTAGGTCGAGGACAGCATTGAGACAAACTGGCTAGAAGATCTTGATTGTAGTGCTGAAAATGAGTGTCAATGTCAGTCGACCATTCTGGCACTGGGATTTTGGCAATGGTCTTGGCTACATTCTGTCTGGAAATACTTTGTCGGTTGAAATTGGTCTTGCCATGGTGTTTCACCTTGGTGCTGCCTTGTCTCGGCCATAGGTGGGTGGCGTGCCAGTCTAGTTGAAGGGCCACTAATTTGTGATCGAAATCACCATTCATGAGCTCAAACTCCTCAACTGTCCGTGACAACGAACACGACTGAACTTGGCAACTTGGCACGCACACAAAGTCAATGCAGTGGGCACTATCACCTTGCGGAGAGATCCACGTGTCACGAGGACCTTGATGACAAGCAAAAGTCGCTGGCAAACAAAGATCAAACTCGGCAAGGAACTGTCGCAAAAGTGGCGTATTCTTTGTTTCTGCAAAGCCCTGGAGTCCAACTGCTTTGTTGTCAGCTTGTCCAGGGGCCGCATTGGCATCCAACATGACATAGATCGGGCTCCCTGCATCGAAGCGATGTAGGGTGGTCGTAAAATGCTCCCACCATTTGCACCGCTCTTCAAGAGCTTGTCCGCTCTGTGGCGCGTGTGCTACAACCAGGCAAGCTTTCCATATCGCGTGGTCAACCTTGACAACAAGGATCCTAGGCTCTTGATGCACAACAATGACATCCTGCTGGGTCAGGAAAAGCGGAGTCTTGTCCACATGAGCTATAGGCTGCTTGAGGTTCAGCCACAGCTCCACGCCCCAATGGCCTTTGCAGGCCCCGGCTCCCAGTCTGGGAACATTGTCAACAAAGCTACAGATCTGTGGGCAACGGGTTTCCTGCAATCCCATGAAGTTGAATTGAAACTCTGTCATTTGGGTTCTGAGGAGCTGAACCTTGCCCGCATTTCCGTGTTCACCAGTGTAAAGAGAGGCCACATTGCAAGAGCCAAAACTCAACTGGAAGTGGACATCCTTGTAATCCTCAACACACGGAGGAAGCTCTGGTGGCTGAGCAGGCGGCAATGCAGGTGGACTCACATCAAAGAAGCCATCATGAAAAGGAGGAAGACTGCAGTCCTTTGCCAGCACCCACCAGAAAAACGGCAGTGATTTGTGCCACTTGCCCATGTCCAATTTCTGTCGCGGAAGATAAAAACTTTTAAGCCTCTCTTGCTTTGCCAAGTGATCAGCGAGATCGTTCCAAACGTCACCGCTATGCCCCTTGACGTGAGACATCGAGAGGAATTGGTCGCTGATGATCGACTCAAGAGCTTGAAAATTGGCACGAAGCAATCGAAAAGGCAGCGAGGGATCTTTAGCTCCATTGGTTCCAGCCCCTTGACGTTCAGCGGCAATGCAGTCTGTGCAGAATGTCGTTGGCAGGTTGTGATTCTGAGCCTCCACAAAGAGGACCAGAAAAGGGCCTCCCTCTCGCTCGTCTCACTCCCAATGCTAGCCGAACCAATGTGATGGCGTGCTCCCTCCTGGAACAGGACAGGTTGAGCTGTCCATCCAACAAAATTGAGCTTTGGGTGATCGGAGTCGGTGTATTCTTCCGCAAGCACCAAGAAAGCCCATGTGTCGCCTTTCCCCTGCTCGTCTGCACGGGCAGGCTGGCATCGTCGCTTCTCTGGGAGAGAGCTTCCATCGCAATAAATAAGAAGTCTATCGATCCTGTCAAGCGGCTGGCAACGGGCCAGTGCTTGAGCAATGTGTGGTGGAAGCTCAATGCCCTCCAATGTGGTACAAAGAATATCTTGTGCTGATTGGAAAAACTGCTCAATGTCTTCGGCCTTCAGTCCCAGCTCCACACGACACTCAGTGCTGCAGCTGATGACCCTGGAAGAGTCAAAGGCTGGGCGTAACACATCAGGCATGGGCAGTCTGTCAGGCCATGGGAGCGGGCTTCTTTCACCATGTGCAGGAGCTTCAGCAACTTCGTTGTCGTAGAAGCGGAAAAGTTTTGCAGGAGATTCTTCATCAGCTATGACGCTGTGGATACATGCTCTCCAGTGTCCATGCTCATAGAGAAATCGCATATGCGCCAGAGTGGTGTCTGCTAAAACCTTCCGATCCACAATGAAGTCAACTTGAGACTCTGTCACGATTTGTAAATACAAATGAATTGCAGGCCTAGACCCCTTGGGTATCGCTCTAGGATAACAGACTGCCACGTCGTAGTCCGTGAAGAGCACACATGAGCAGTCATGGCCCCAATGTCGCAGCTCGCTCTCAACATCCTTGGGGTCAGATCCAAAGGGAAGCTCAATAAAGGTCGGCAATTGCATGTAGTGAACACCCGCTACAACTCTGATGACTTTGCAGGAAGCAGGCTCCTCATAGTGCACAAGCTGTTCCAATTGAATTTTGCGGCGGATGACGCCCGTCTGGAGCAGGTTCAAGCCCTCTGTGAGGCCACTCATCAGCTGCAATGGTTGGCGCTGAACAAAGAGGGACAGTGACATACCATGTGCAATTGCAAAAGGTTCATCATTCACCAGTTCTCGGTCACCATGCCAAAGGCTACAAACTGCGGCCGGCGAGGAGACATGGCAAAGTGCAGCATAACCCATGATGTCCAGGCCCATATTGAGCAAAAGTTGGTTGGGCATGATTAACGCCCATTGTCTGGGATATCCAGACTGAACCGCATCATCAAGAACAGCAACGTGGACGGACTTGAAATCAGCCAAAGGGCGTTGGACCAGGATCACGTGCGCCGCAAGTTCAACTGCTCCATACAGTGGTCTTGGGTGCACCACAAAGAAGTGGACATCAATCTCCTGATCAATAAGATCGATCCAAGCCCTGGTGAGGAGAGCTCTCCATTCAAGCGGGTCCTCAAAGAGTTGTACAACTCTTGGTTGTGCGCAAAGTGGATTTCTATGATGGTCATTGTACCAAGATACCACTGTGGCAACTCTCTCCATTCCCCCTGGTCCGTCAATGGCGTGGGCTCTCCAATGTGGCAGCAGAGCAGCTTCAAAATCTGGGAGCTGCGCTTGGGGTTGTAGAGCCACAGGCCCTTGGACGTTGGGGTCGTGCTGAGCACAGTACCGCTCCCTGAGCGCAGCAAAATCTTCACTCTCGTGCTGTGCAATGACTCGTCCTCGATTCTGGAGCCTTACAGTCATTTGCAGAAGACTGCTTGCCTCACCACTGGAGCGGGGTGACATCTCTTCAGAAGACTGAACATCCTCTATCACGGCATGGTGCGTGGGCATGGATTCAAGGTCATTGTCAACGTCAGAAATCCAGTAAAATGCAGCTAGATCTTGCGTGTCAATACCCATCTGAAGAAGCCTGGCAATGCAACGTGTAGGAATGTTTTGCAATGGCTCTGGCGGTGGAGGCAGAGCGATTCTGATATAATCACCATGATAGATTCTCGCATAGAGTCTTCGGTCTTGGTGGATCAATTCGTTGTTGTGCCAAACCAAACAGGTGTCACCAACAAATCGCGCATACAGAAAAACATCCAATGCTCGCAAAATTTGATGCCTGGAGAGGACAGTCGGAACATACAAGGGACATCGAACCCTGTCATAGATGCGGCAAGGCCCTGCAGGATGAAATTCAACATCAACAAGGACAAACGCCAATCTAGAATGAGCAGGAAGATCGTTCCGATGTTGTGCCAAAAACGCACGAAGTCCTCTTTCTGCAAGATCTTGCGGTAGAACATGGACAGGATGGACTGTCTGCAAATCATCGCGAGGGAACCCTGCCAGTCGAGCAACATTGTGGCGAGTCAGTGGCCCATTCACATCGTGGACAATGTTCACAGAGCCCTCTTGTGGTTGGCCATGTACTGAAAAGACAGCGGCTTGGCACCAGGCCAGGTCAGGCTCACTGTCGCTAGAGCTAGGCTCTTCTTCATCAATGTCGCCTTCCTGCTGAACTGCTTCTGCTCTATCCATGACTGGCAGTGGTGAAGTCTGGGTGCGTGATCTCGCCCCAGCGGCCATGAATGAGCTGTAATCATCGAGGTCATCTTCTACTGGGAAGATTTCAGTCACGATTGACGTGCACCAGGGTGTGGGAATTTCGTGTCCCTCGTCTCTCAGCGAAAGATCTCCAATGCTCCAATGCGAACATGACATTGCCGGATGGCGCAATGCGTCCAAGTAGAGGTCAAATCAATGGCAATCATCCTATTGATGACCAGCGGCAAAACATGTGCTTGCTGTACGATCGCATCCCTGCTGGAGTGACGAAAGTACGCTGATACAATGCCCACTGAAGCAGTCTCCGAATCAACTTCTTGGCTAAGGATCAGATGTGCAACGTGGCCCTGGAAAACTGTCGAAGGTGGATGAGGCATAACCAACCCAATGTCAACTGGTTGCTCACGTAGGAGTTGATCTTGCCATACTTCCTTGATGAGCTCAAGCCATTCATTCCAGTCTGGACCCAAGCGCAAAATGCGACTGACTGGGCTGCGTTGGCGGGTGTGGCCATGGAGATACCATGAACAAACGTAGATAATCTTGCCCTCTTCGAGGCTCTCAACATGTCCAAGTCGTTCATGTATGGATCTCAATTGATTCCACCAGGAAGGCAAAAACGTGGGATCATTGATGTGTCTCTGAATTGGGTCTTCATCATGAAAAAGCCTAGTGAAGCTGGGCGCCTCGACTTCATCCTCAAATCTACGCCAGGCAGCCATTGGGGCAACTGGTTTGTCCGAGATCGAACGTCCCGAAGATGAAAAACCATCCGGTTCATGATCTGCAAGGACTGGACCAGGACCACGTAGTGATCGTCGTGCTCTGGACTGTCGTGCTGTTGGTCGAAGTTTCCAAGGCTTTTCCTTCCAATTTCGTAATGATTCATGTGGGATTGATGTGAAGAAGGTTTGAAACTCATCCTCCAGGCCAAACGCAACTTCAACAATGTCAGCAAAACTGCAAGTCCTCAGACTTTTCGAATTTGTGGTAGTGTCCATAGATGGCATGGGAACACGTCGAGGCACTTCAGCAAAACCCAAAGTGAAGGCCTCATCTAGCGCATCAATGGAAGCTTGCCACTCAGAGACAAAATGTCGTTTTTTGGCCACTGGGTGCAGCCACTTCATGACGCATGGAGCTGTGCCTCCAAGCGGAAAATGCCCATAGCCAATCTCCTGTCGGTCTATTGACCGGGCACACCAAAAGAACGCAAAGATGCTTCTGTAGAGCCATCTGGGGGCCTTTTGCGAGGCCGCTTGGCAGCATTCTCCTCTGCTGCGAGTTCGGCCTTCTCTTTGAGGGACTCCAGGTTGGCAAGCATGAGGTTGAGGCCTTCTTTCAATGCCTGACCCTTGCTGTCCAGAACCTCCTGGGACTCCTCGTCTGAGATCTCGAGGGCCATATCGTCCTTGGAGTCGCTGTCGAGATCTTCCACTTCTTTCGCTTCCCTTTTGGATGCTTCGAGACCTTCCTGTGCTGTCTTGACTGCATCTGTCGCTGACATCACTTGTTGTGCAAGATCGTTGTCCTGCTTTTCGAAGTCTTTGCAGAATTCCTGCCATTTCTCTGCACTGGCCGCCAGATAAGTCTTCCACACATTGTGGAGCTGCATCCTGGAAGCTCTTGCATCCTGAAGGGTCTTCTTGGCTTTGCCCAATTTGGTGACAGCTGAATGCAAAACCTTCGTCATGTCCTGCGACTGAGCCTTGTGAGTCTCTTGGAGCATTGCCTGCAAGTCGGCAGGCAGGCTGGACTCGTTCTTCTTCATCGCAGTGACCAATGCACGAAGTTGCTGTTCGGCGGGCGTGGTGGAAGGAGCTGCAGCAGTCGTGGACTGAGTCGATTTCGACGTCCATGGTGCTTCTGGCAATGCCGGAGCTTGGAACTGCGACTGCGACTTGCCCTTCCCTTTGCCTTTTTTGTTCTTTCTTCGGTTCTTGTGCTGCGGTGCCTGGGCTGGAGTCTGCGACCTGGTTCTGGGAGATTGCGAAGGCCATCTGCCGCTGCCCCAGGAACGTGCGCTCCACGGTGGGTCGTCCTCTTCCCAGTGTGCATAGGATTGCTCCTCCTGCACCCTCCGTTGACTTTGAGGAACATGCTGGTAGTTCCCATCGATCGCCTCTGCCCAGTGTCTTCCGCATTGGCCACAGTACGATGCTGTGGCTTTGTTGATTCTTTTGCAAAATCGACACTTCCAAGGTGTCTGTTTCATACTCCACGTCTCCATAGTTGCAGTGATTTTGCGTTGCAACTGGTGATCTATTGAGTGATGCCGAGATAAAATGTCCTTGATGCCTTTCAGCTCCTGAACAGAAGGACGAAGGTGGCCTTTTCGGAAAAGAAACCAACGCAACCTGGCCAGAGATCGCAGTCTTCGCTCGCGTCTTCTCTTGGAAGGAGTGATGGTTGCCACAAATGTCAATCACAACGTTCGGAAAGATGAGGAAGAGGACAAATATCAAAAGCATAAAATTTGGAGATGATCCCAACAGACAGGTCAGTGAAAACAAAGCCGTGGAACAAGTCAAACACAGGCAAGTAGTTCACCAGGAGTGGGCCAAGCTAATGGCAGCCAATCCACCCAGGAATGTTAGGGAGCTGGGACTCCAAGGAACAGGTGTTAGCGACCTGCACAGTGTCGCCAGAGCACGTGCTGAGATACCCAGGATGTTAAGGGAGCTGGGACTCCAAAGATCAGGTGATGACGACCTGCACAGGATCGTCAGAGCACTTGCAAGGCACACGGCAGCACCAAAGTCAGCCGCTATGCCCGTGGGACGACCGCACACCGGTCCCACTAAGGTCACGGAACAGTGCAACTAGCGTGGGGCACCCTCAACACGCTGTTGGTCGCTCGATCCAAACCTTTATATATCTATATCTATATATATATCTATATCTATATCTATATATATATATATATATCTATATCTATATATATATATATATATCTATATATATATGTATATTATATTATGTATATATATATAATCTATATACCAACTTACCCTATTCTATTCCCTAGTGTATAAATGTATATAATCCAAGTAGTCCTGGGTTTGTGTAGTAGTAAACAACTCACCTTATCATAGGGGTCCCACCAGGAACGCACACTCGAATCTTCACCAAGAAACCGCCATCCGTTCGCTTCAGGAACGCCGAGAACATCTCCTGGGCACGTTGAACCATGGCTGCAATGAAACCTGAACTATCCATGGCAAACCTACACACAATGGGGAGTTACAACCAGCAAATTGTGAAGTTTTAGTCGACATAGCTTTGCAAATAGAGGAAGGTGAGGAAAGGATGCAATTGTTTTACTGTGTAACCAGCATGGTTCATCTTCGATTCCCTGCAAAACCACCATGGATGGATGGATGGAACACCGGCTTGAGGTCACCTTGTATCCTTGAAAACTTGGTTCTATTATATATTATCAGGCTTGACAAGTCCCCTCCCCCACACAAAAGAAACATAAACAAACAAACTCTTGATCAGTTGCACCCCCCAAACACACTCCGTTTACAATTAATTAACATTCATGTCCTGCTTTGGGTATAGCTGTCTGTACCACAATACAAGTACGGTGTCCATCCAAATTGGGGCGTCGGTCATTTTGATTTAGTGTCGGTTCGGATGTTGCTTTATGTGGCAAAATCTTAATTATGGTTGCTTCAATCTGCATGTTAGTTGCTTACATCCCGAATTTCACTGCTAAAACTCCCTAACTCTTGTCGGCGAATTCAGCATTTCTGTTAATTCAGTTCAGCCATACATAGCCATACATAGCCGGACACCATGAAAGCACCATTTTTCCCCAAAAATCATGGATGTTTCACCCCGGGCCGGTCCCCTGGGCCCATCCCGGGCCCATGTCCGGCGTCACCAGGCGTTCGATCTTCAGCACCTTGGCATGGATTTTGGGCACCGCCTCAGCGAAGAGTTGCGCCACGCGCCACCTGACAGGGTTTTTGGGTAAGGTGATTTTTCTGTTGGTTAGTAGTGGTTAATGGTAGTTATATATATATATTAATAGTGGTTAATGGTGGTTATATATATATATATTAATAGTGGTTAATGGTGGTTATATATATATATATTAATAGTGGTTAATGGTGGTTATATATATATATATATATTAATAGTGGTTAATGGTGGTTATATATATATATATATTAATAGTGGTTAATGGTGGTTATATATATATATTAATACTGGTTAATGGTGGTTATATATATATATTAATAGTGGTTAATGGTGGTTATATATATATATAGTGGTAATTATATATATTAATAGTGGTTAATGATGGTTATATATATATATATATATAATAGTGGTTAATGGTGGTTATATATATATATATATATATTAATAGTGGTTAATGGTGGTTATATATATATATATTAATAGTGGTTAATGGTGGATAATAGATGTTAATCGTGGTTAATGGTGGATAATAGATGTTAATAGTGGTTAATGGTGGATAATAGATGTTAATAGTGGCTAATGGTGGTTAATAGATGTTAATAGTGGTTAATGGTGGATAATAGATGTTAATAGTGGTTAATGGTGGATAATAGATGTTAATAGTGGTTAATGATGGTTAATAGATGTTAATAGTGGTTAATGTAGGTAAAACAATGTCATAAACCACCCATGACTGGGACTGGTTTATACCACCTATCAAATGATATAAAATGATGATTTGGGGGATGGTCTACTATTGCTACCCTCTGTTTTTTTTCTAATGTGGCTGTGGAAAATCACCATTTTTAGTGGGTAAATCAACTATAAATAAATGGGCCATTTTCAGTAGCTATATGTTACCCTCTGGTAATTTAACGTAGCTATTGAAAATGACCATTAATAGTGGATTTTCCCATTAAACATGGTGATTTTCAATAGCTATGTTAGTCATTACCAGAGGGAAGTGTCTTAAGATTCCAAATCACAGGGACACCAGAGGAATTTCCCGCCACGGAAAGCGTGTCACATGGATACGGAAACACAAAGAATTTAACTATCTCTATAGATGCATCATCCTGTCAGATATACATGTATGTATATATATATAAGATACATATACATATACATATACATATAGATATCATTAGATTTCAACAATCTCTATCCCATATGTATCATTGGTTATTGGGATTAAATCTCCATTGACATATTGGAATTATAAATTGAGATGATCCCATAAAAATTAAACATGCGATTGAGATGATCCCATAAAAATTAAACATGCATCAAACAACCAATACATACTATTAAAGTTAGATGATGTTAGATATATAGCCATATGTATTTGTTGTATAATATATCATTATCCCATAAAAATATCCATTGATACACTAATATACACGAATCATATCTGTTGAACCATCCAAATGTTTCCATGATCCCCCAGCTCACCGAGCGATTTTTGAATGCCAAGGAACTTATCCGAGGCGCCGGGAGGCTCCATACCATGTTCCAAGGCTTGCATGGCGGTGGCCGTTCTCTCCTGGACATCCCCAGTGGATTAGTGTGATATCTACAGTGGATTAGTGGGATATACCATGATAATACCATATAATACCATAATAGATAGCTTTATATGAAAAAATAATGGGATATCCTTTGGGTCGGGAATCTCACAGTTTGCCGCCATTGAACTTGATGTACTTTTTGATCATGCGATCCCTGTCACAGGGATTGGAAATTCGGCAACTATCCCAAACAAAAAATTAAACAAGGAGCCAACAAGCATTGTATTTTAGTTCTACACTCCCTCCAGACTTCAAGTCTTCGTAGTTCGCTGAGAAAAAACATCAGGTTTGATGATTCACTCTGGCAATTTAACAGTTTGCTGTAGAAAATCAGTTTCAATAAAACTTCAATAATTATCCAACTTCAATATCCAATCATGCTAAATCATCGAACTAACTTGGCAATTCTCCATAGCGAAGCGAAGTGTTAAATCACAGCTCAATCCCTGAGGGTAGAAAGGGGCTTTTGCGACCCAGGTCAACCAAACAGTATTCCAGCATAAATCGTAATCGATGATTTCACAAATGGTTATATGTGGATATTGGGAAGATAGCAACCAAACCATTCATTGTAAATGTGTGTTTTCCCAAATAAGGGCTTATTGCTGAGATATGGTGGGTATTGTAAACATGCCCCAATTTAGATATCTAGCTAATCCATAGTAATCCCAGTATTTGAGAAATTCAACAATGGATTAGTAATCATGGAGTCTCAAAATCGGCTACCCCCAATTCCAATATCATCACTTTCCGTATTAAAAATGGCCATAACTGCCGGTATTCCCTTTCAGACAAACCCATCTATAGATTTAACGTCTGTTGATGCCCTCTGGTAATGTAACGTAGCTATTGAAAAGGATCATTTATCGTTCATTTACCTATTGTAAATGGTGATTTTCCATAGTTATATGTGTTAGTTTACCAGAGGGTATAGTGTATATTAGTGTATCAATGGATATTTTTATGGGATAATGATATATTATATACATATATATATGGGCATATCCAAAGGGTAATCCCCCACCTCTGCCGTGACCCCCTCCTGCAACGTCGGCGACCGCGCCCGGGAGGGATCCCTTGATGCGCTACGCGCACGTCGGGAGGTGCTACGCGCGCGGCTGCCGGTGGAAGACATGGAGGTGCCAAGCGATGCTTTGGTGCCTGGCTGATGGTCAGAAATGGATAGACAAGGCGGGTAAACCAACAAAACTGGTGGTTTTCTACCTTAAGGAAGAAACATGGTTAAACATCGTGGTATCACCATCAAACAATGGGAGCTTGACTATTCAAAAATGATGGAAAACGGTGGTTTAAGTATAAAGAAGTGGGATTCACCACTGAATATCATGGTTTGATGTGGAAATTATGGGATGCAATGGGAATTGCAACCCACCAAATCGGATGTTGACTCGAGGAATTTGCTGGGAAATCCTCGTTCTCATCCTTTATAGCAACACCAAACAAAATACGTAAGTCATTCTCCACTGCATTTTAGCAACATTGTACTTGTCTAAACTTTTCTTGGGGGGTCGGCCGGGTGCTAGATATCCATCATAGATCATCATATCATATCCCATTGTTTGTTGCTTGAAGATCCCGTGGCGCCGTTGCGATGCGCCAGTGCCTCCTGTGTCCTCAAAGGAGCACTTCAGCGGCACACCTCGTCGTCGTCCTGAGCAACATGGCAATGGAAAATCCATGAAAATCCCACAGAAATGGTGTTTGAAAGGGAAAATCAATGCATAAATGGGGGATTTTCCAGCAGGGGTATATTCAGTTATTTCCTTACAACCAGTAAGAACATGTCCATCTGAACACAAACATATGTTTGTTTGAATCTCTTCATATTCCTCCATTATTGGGCTGATCATTCACATGTTCACCTAGCAGGACCTACCATTCAGCACTTGCTTGCCCCATATTTCGATAGCTACAGTAAGTCATGTGAAGTCCCAGGTTTTGATAGATCAACAGAGATCAACCCATTTTCATTGTTTCACCCCCGATGTTGAAATGGAGTTTGTTCATCCCATCTTTGGATTTTGAGACCCATTGGTCGATATCCCCACGGTGTTTAAATTCCAATTACTGTTGGTGCAACATGGTGCAACCTCCATGTTTCGCGGGTCAAACCACAATTCCTGTTGCTCAAGTCGTTTCTGTTGCCTAAAATCACCATTGTTTTTCATTCTTGTCGCTTAAGCATGCTTAACCATGCTTTTAACCATGCTTAACCCAGCATTTTTCTCCATTTTTCTTGGTGAACCCAGCATTTTGGTCCCATTTTTCTCGCTGTTTTGCCACGACCAACTCCCCGAAAAAACCCGAAGCGGCTCCTGGCGACGCGTTCTCCGGCTCCGCGACGCGCTGCTCGAAGCGGCCGGAGGCCGGGCCGGCCACACGACCTGGCTGAGCTATTGATGATCCAAAGGGAAATATCATGGGGATCGATGATCCAATTGATTATACTTCATTGGATTGGTTTAAGGGAAAATCTACAGGAAACCATGGTTTTTACCATCAAATATAGGGCTTTCCTGTAAATTTTCCCATCATCCAATTCTATGAATAATATATAATCTATGATATAGATATCTATATTGATATAATTGATACTATGATTATCCATAATCTATTATTGATTATCTATGATACTATTGATTATAATATATAATCTATATTGATATATATTGATATCTATATTGATTATAACTAATCAATATCTGATAATTGGATTATCATGGAAATATCATGGAAATGGTGACTGGAAATGGATAAAATCCATGGATATTTCCAGTTTTTTGGAGAGAAAAATCCACTGGATTATCATGGGACATATCATGGAAATTGTAATTTTTCTATTGTCCAACAGATTTGAGGAGCTATTGATATGATGACTGGAGATAATCAGATCAAATCTATTGGATAATAGAAAATTGATTGGATCATGGACATTTTATAGAATATCATGAGGTGTAAGCATCAAAAAGAAACTTAACTATTATATAACTAGTACAGTAAATCTCTATTAGAAAAACAAAACTATCAGATAATGGAAATATCATGGAGATACAATGAATGGATTATATATATATTATATATAATCAGATCAAATCTATTGGATAGTAGTGATTTGATGGGAATTGATTGTGATATAATTGGATTTCATGGGATATAATGGGGATACAATGGGAATCTGTTGGATAATGGAGATATCATGGGGTTTAACAGGGCTATCGTGGAATATAACCTAATAGGATCTAATAGGGACTTAAAATCGGCCCCGGTTTGCGCCAGGAAATTGTTTTCCCCTTCGGAGGGATTTTTTTCCCCCCGCAATGCCGCATCAATTGCCTCGCTATTTGCAACATGTTAAACCTCGAAGCTGCCATCTCGACAGTATTTGCAACAGGTTGGAACCACTTCTCTACGGTAGTTGCAGCGATTTTGGAGCTAGGAGCTGATGGTAAGTCAAGCATTTTGGAGCTAGAAACTCATATTTCTGCCGGAATCGGAGATTTTTGGAGCTAGCAGCTACCACTTCTACGGTACCTGCAGCAGTTTAGGCATTTTAGGGGTTGTTCAGCTAGAAGTGTTGCTGGGGCTGCTGTGGCGTGTGCTTAGGGTTGGTTAAAGGTATCGTGGGTTGGGTTAGTGATTCCAGATCGGTTTAAGGTTGGTTTATAAATTGTGTTTGTGTAGCGCTTGTTTGGCGTGAATCTAGTGTTGGTTCAATATGTTGTTTAGGGTTAGTTTGCGGTTTAGCTAGGAGTCCGCTTAGTTTTAGGGTTGCTTCAAATAGCATGGTGTTAGGGCTGCTGCAGGATTTGCTTCGGTTTGGGCGAAGGTATTTGGAATGTGTATTTATCTTTTAAGATCTGGTCAGGGTTGGTTTAGGTTTGGTGTAAGGCTTTGTGTAGGTTTGGTTTAGGGTTGTGTTCAAGGCTGCTTTGAAATTGTAGTTAAAACTGATTTAGGGTTTAGTTTGGGTGGGCTTAGTGTTAGCTTAAGGTTTACTCTAGAATGCTGGCGTAATGTTTATTTAACATTTTTTTCAGGTGTTATTTCTGGTGTGCTTAGTGTTTGGTTTAAGATGTGTTTAAGATTTCTTTCGGGTTGGTTTAGGGTTGCTTCAGGGTTGGGTCAGTGGTTTATTGCTGGTTGGCTTAAGGTTGGTGCAAAGTTTTATCAAAAATCGCTTCAGGGTTTAATTCGGAATTTGTCGAAAATTGATTCGTTGTCTTTTGGGTTTGGATATGGATTTGGGTTTGTCTTGGGTTTGGTTAAACCTTTATTTGGCATTAGTTTCAGAGCTTATTTAAGGTTTGACTTTAAGGTGTGTTTGCAGTTTCTTTCGTGAGGGTTTAGGATTTATCTATCTATATGTGTGTATATATATATAGATAGAGCTTGCTTTAAGGTCTATTTCCGGTTGGATTAAGGTGTTCTTTGTAGTCGGTTTAAGGTAGGTTGGTTCAGGGTTGATTTGGGGTTTGTTTAAGGTTTGAGAAGAGCTGGTTTAGGGACTATGGAAATTTGGTTCAAAATTCTATTGAATATTGTTCGGAAATTTATTTGAAGTTGTTTAGGGTTCAGTTAAAGTTGATTGAACGGCCAATTCAAGTTGGTTTAGGGTCGATTTAGTGCCGGTTCATTTGACGTTTCAAATTGGTTTACGGTTCGGTTTAGAATTGGTTTGGGGCTGGCTAGAGATCTATTTAGGGTTGATTTGTCGTCTATTGAGGGTTGGTTCAAGGTTTAGTGAAACTTTATTTGAGGGTTCTTTGCTGTCGGTTTTAGGTTGTATTTCAAAATTGTTGGTGCTTTACTAAGGGTCGGTTTATCTTTCTAAATTGGTCAAGGGTTTTCTTTAGAGTATTTTCAACATGTATTTATGGTTGACTAACAATTAATTTAAGCTTGGGTGTTGTTTGTTTCAACTTTCTTGAAGGTTGGTCAAAGATTGGTTTAAAGTTTTATTTACTGTTTAGTGCAAGTTAGTTTGCAGTTTAAAGTTCGGTTAGGGTTTAGATAAGCAAGGCTGGATTTGGGTTGCAAATGGTTTGATTTTTTCTTTTAAAGAGTTGGTTCAGGGTTGCTTTGTTTTCTTCAAAATTAGTTTGTAGTTTTTGCGCAGGGGTTGCTCGAAGGTTTATCTCCGATTGGCTCAAAACTCTACTATACTCTATTTATGGTGGCCGGCTGGCTTGCTTGCTTGCTTGCTTGCTGGTTGGCTGGCTGGCTGGCTTGCTTACTTCCTTGCTTCCTCAATTGCTTGCTTGCCGTCTTCCTGGTTTGCTCGCCTGCATGCAAGGTGGTTGCTTGCTCTGGCTTACGTGCGTGGCTGGCTTGGCTGCTTGCTAGCTGTCTGGCTGGCTTGCTTGCATGCTTGGTTGGTGGTTGGATGGCTTGGCTGGCTGGCTGGCTTGCTTGCCTGCCTGCCTGACTTGCTTGCTTGCTTGCCTGCTGGCTTCATTGTGAAAGGATGATCGGGGAAAAAAATCCCCGGGGGAGGGGAACAAAATTTCCCGGGAAAAATAGTGCGCCCTTAAAATCTATTGGATCATCTATTTATAGTATGGATACAATGGGGATTGTAGATATAGTGCCAATAGGGGATACAGCTTTTACTTGCACATAACTACATGTGTAAATCCCATACTATATAGTAATTTTTGATTTATAGACATAATATAGTGGCAAGTGCAAGCGCGCTTATAGCATCATTTTGGAGATTCTTGGAACACTGATTTATAGCAAGCAATCGGGTGATCCATTGGGGGTGTCGCTGGCACCACATGGCCGTGGCTTTTTGCACCACTTGTTGTAGTTAAACTGTTAAACCATGTTAAACCCTCATCAAATCCAATAACTCACCCGGGTGTTTCTAGAGATTGTGGCTCTTAACCATTGATTTCACAACAATAAACATTGCCAGCATAGCTTAGATGCAAAGTTTGGATCTTCCATAACTGAAGAGCCCGTCATATGACTCTTGATCTTCCCTCCGGTAATCAAACAAGGCAATGGAATATTCGATAATATGCCATTCATTCATTCATTTCCTTTCATTTCATTTCATTCATTCATTCAGTCATTCATTCAAACCTCCGTTTTGTCAGGGTATTTTCCATTGCCACGTTTGATTCATGGTGGTTTCCGGTGTGAAGTACCGGGAGATATCCAAATCTTCAGCTTTCATGCGGAGAGTAGCATCGAATCAGATTGAAACTGGGAATCATTCAGAAAGAAAACGGAAAAAGAAACAGCATAATTAAATACCCTCTGGTAATTTAACATAGCTATTGAGTCCATGGCCCATTTAGTTCGTTGATTTACCCATTAATAGCATGGGGATGTTCCAGTTCGCTACGTTAGTTTACTTTAAAGGTCTGCATGAATCCATTCCAGGGTCAGTCGATACATGTTTTGAAACATTGTCCCAGCAAAATTTCGGTGTCAACCTCACGTTGTTGTGCCTCTTTCTGATTTGCCTTGCCTAATCCTGAACCGCGCACGCAATGCACCATTCACTGACATTTTCACTCTGGTCCTATTCTGTCCTGACTATGACTCTTTCTGGGCATCGCCAACGTTGTTGTCCGGAAGCGGCCACGTTGGCACCGCAGATGAAGCCAAGAAAGAACAAGTCGGTTCTTTGCCTCGCGCACTGTGTTGTCGGCCTCCAGAATGCTGCATCATGGGTGATGCGACAATCAGCCAAAACACACAAATTGGCTAAGCATTAAAATGCATTAATGGCTGGGATCTGTACCTGATAGCGTTCCGGCCACTCCGTGGCTGCTCGGAACGCAGCTTCTGCTGCGCCGTGTCCCAAAATGGCTTCCGCGCTCAAGACCGTCCACCGCGATGATCTTGGTAGCCATTCCCCGCCGTAGTGGTGCAAGACACCCACCTGAAAGGCAAGAAGCAACCCAACACCAAAAAAAAACAGGAACAAATGTTATCATCCCCACATAATTATACCCGAGATATATTTTCAGAGGGGTAAAAGGATATATTTCACTTGTCTACCTTTGTTGGGGGTCACAAAAAGAACCCAGCCGCAAACACAAACCACAAAACATTCCCAAAAACGCCTAGGCACAGCGGAGGAAGGCAATTGAAAAAAACCAAGACTCGCAACAAAGTGGAACGGCTGAGGAAGAACAAAAGCCAGGGCCACCTGAAACAGGGTTGGAGATACAACCAAAACACCCAAACGCTACTTAAACCAGCTTTAAAACTTTGGTCTCAAAATCGTTCCCGTAAACTGACTAACTTAAAAACCGTTGTGTCCCATCTAACCTCCAGACGATGGAGTTCCTCCGGAGTGAAAAACTGCAGAAGGCAATTCATGCGAAACACTACGCGCGCCGCCACGTCACGAAGGATGCGCATCATTGCGAGATACAGAGAGGAAGCCAAAAAAAAAACGAGAGACCGATTCAGCCAAAAGCTGCGGTGTGATTCATGTCGTGTCATGTGAACCCACTGGATCGGACCAAACCCGGGAAACTGGAGGAAACACAACAAAACCCTATTCCACCGTACAAATCCCTTTGAAACCGTGGTTTTCAGAGGGTACCCGAACCATTACAAGGGTAACAAGTTCAAAGAAGATACAAACGTCAACCATCTGAGACACAGAAAATCCCAAGTCATTAAATCATACACCCCCTTTCAAATGATTCAAACTGGGTGATCATGTCCAATGTTGTTGGTAACCTTACTAAAAAAAACAAAACCCATTCTGAACCCTCGTGTCATGTGAACCCACTGGATCGGACCAAACCCGGGAAACTGGAGGAAACAGAACAAAACCCTGTTCAACAGTCAAAACCCATTGAGAAATTTCTTTTCAGAGGATACCCGAACCGTTACAAGGATAACAAGTCTTAAGAAAATTCAAACGTCAACCATTTGAAACACAGGAAATCCCAAGTCACTAAATCATTCACCCCCTTTCAAATGATTCTTACTGGGTGATCATGTCCAATGTTGTTGGTAACCTTACTAAAAAAAATAAAACCCATTCTGAACCCTCGTGTCATGTGAACCCACTGGATCGGACCAAACCCGGGAAACTGGAGGAAACAGAACAAAACCCTATTCACCGTCAAATCCCTTTGAAAAATGGTTTTCAGAGGGTACCCGAACCATTACAAGGGTAACAAGTCAAAGAAATACAAACGTCAACCATTGAACACAGAAAATCCCAAGTCATTAAATCATACACCCCCTTTCAAATGATTCAAACTGGGTGATCATGTCCAATGTTGTTGGTAACCTTACTAAAAAAAACAAAACCCATTCTGAACCCTCGTGTCATGTGAACCCACTGGATCGGACCAAACCCGGGAAACTGGAGGAAACAGAACAAAACCCTGTTCAACAGTCAAAACCCATTGAGAAATTTCTTTTCAGAGGATACCCGAACCGTTACAAGGATAACAAGTCTTAAGAAAATTCAAACGTCAACCATTTGAAACACAGGAAATCCCAAGTCACTAAATCATTCACCCCCTTTCAAATGATTCTTACTGGGTGATCATGTCCAATGTTGTTGGTAACCTTACTAAAAAAAATAAAACCCATTCTGAACCCTCGTGTCATGTGAACCCACTGGATCGGACCAAACCCGGGAAACTGGAGGAAACAGAACAAAACCCTGTTCAACAGTCAAAACCCATTGAAAAATTTCTTTTCAGAGGATACCCGAACCGTTACAAGGATAACAAGTCTTAAGAAAATTCAAACGTCAACCATTTGAAACACAGGAAATCCCAAGTCACTAAATCATTCACCCCCTTTCAAATGATTCTTGATGGGTGGTCATGTCCAACGTTGTTGGTGGTCCCATAAACAATCAAAACCCCTTTTGTAGGTTTGTTTGTTTGTTTGTTTGTTGGTCGGTCGGTTGGTTGGTTTGTTTGTTTGTTTGTTTGTTTGTGTGTTTGTTTGTGTGTTGGTTTGTGTGTTTGTTTGTGTGTTTGTTTGTCCAAGGAACGACAACAATTATATGTTGTGGCCGACAGTTCCAGCAGCATCGCATTTGTTGAATGCATTGGGACAACATCTTGTGGAGAGTAAAATCGAGACCATTGCAGCACACATTATCCAACCCAATACATCTGAGCTGCATGTTGTATGGACTGTGCCGAAATCTCCATGATACCAACATACAAACTAATACCAAAACACCAAATACAATAAATGATACTTGCAGAGTACCCCCTAAAACAACTCAGCTTGGAGTAAAAGGGACACGAATTGTGTGCTGGTTCGACTGCTACTTGGTATCAACCACCGAATACATGAATTCCCGCAAATTTGTTGATGACCAATTTTGGTAAAATATTGCTTTCCTGAAGTCTCAAACATAATCAAACTCACTGCCCCCCTCATTGTTTACCCAAAAAATGGCCGAAATTGTAAGTTTCTATGGGCCTTAAATTTCTTATGTTTGACCCATACCCATCACTCTGTCAATGTTAAACGAATTTCTGCTTGATAAACGTAATTTACCCAGTGATGACCCCAAAAAACATTATCCCCATCATTAGCCAATAGAGTTAGCCCCAATCAAAACCATGAATAAATCAGCAACACTAGGTTACTGTAGATCCCTACTAGATATATCGCGCTCCCGAAACACATCCAGATTCTGGTTCAAGAAAAGGCACTAACATATTCTCAGAATGGAGTCTTTCTATATTTGATGGGTTAAACTAGTTTTTTTCATCCACTCTACTCTACAGAATAATGTATATATATATAAACGTCCCCGTCATTTTGGTGGGTTGCTACTTGGAGAATCATTCCACTTATATCCGGAAGTTCCTAATCCTGGTGATCGTAAATCCCCGATTCGTAGCTTATCGCATGTACAACCGGGTGAACTAACTCTGGTCATTTCACATCGCTATGGAAAATGAGCAATAAAAAATCATAGGTAAATCATGGTAAATCAACCAACTCAATGGCCATTTTTTCCATAAGTTTTGTTTACCAAAAGGTAACTCTGGTCACCACCTACGACGGATGATCCTCCAGCCGTCGCCCATGACTTCTCCGCCTCCTGGGGCGAGTTTGGCGCCACGGCCCGCGCTCAACGGGGAACGACCTGGCGAGGCTTCCGAACGAGAGCTCGGTCAAAAAACTTAGCTAACTTGGTTGATGAGGGTCTAGGGAGGATATATCTATAGTTGTCATGTAAATGTAGAATAAACAAACTGGCATTCTTTGTTCAACCCCATTATGAACTAGTATGATATATGTATATGTATGTAAATATAAATATAAATATATATATATATATATATATATCCGCCGACCCCGGCCTTAGCCAAGGCAGGGGCGGCGCCTGGGACCGCCGCAGGTGTGGAGCCTGTTTTTGTTGGCTTGCCACTACCTTGCCTTCCGCCAGGCACTCAGGCCACTGCCCTCTGTTGTTGAGGGCGTTCAAGCCTGCTTCGAGCAGGCACTCAGGCCACTGCCCTCTGTTGTTAAGGGCGTTCAAGCCTGCCGTTTGCCAGGCCTCAAATGCCTCAAACGCTGCGCAGCAGCTTCGAGCAGGCACTCCCGCCACTGCCCTCTGTTGCTAAGGGCGTTCAAGCCTGCCGTTTGCCAGGCCTCAAATGCCTAAGACGCTGCGCGGCAGCTTCGAGCAGGCACTCAGGCCACTGCCCTCTGTTGTTAAGGACGTTCAAGCCTGCCGTTTGCCAGGCCTCAAATGCTTCAAACGCTGCGCAGCAGCTTCGAGCAGGCACTCAGGCCACTGCCCTCTGTTGTTAAGGGCGTTCAAGCCTGCCGTTTGCCAGGAAATGCCTCAAACGCTGCGCGCTTCGAGCAGGCACTCAGGCCACTGCCGCCTGTTGTTAAGGGCGTTCAAGCCTGCCGTTTGCCAGGCCTCAAATGCTCGAAACGCTGCGCGGCAGCTTCGAGCAGGCACTCACGCCACTGCCCTCTGTTTGCCAGGGCTCAAATGCCTAAAACACTGCGCGGCAGCTTCGAGCAGGCACTCAGGCCACTGCCCTCTGTTGTTAAGGGCGTTCAAGCCTGCTGTTTGCCAGGCTTCAAATGCCTAAAACGCTGCGCGGCAGCTTCGAGCAGGCACTCCGGCCACTGCCCTCTGTTGTTAAGGACGTTCAAGCCTGCCGTTTGCCAGGCCTCAAATGCTTAAAACGCTGCGCGGCAGCTTCGAGCAGGCACTGAGGCCACTGCCCTCTGTTGTCAAGGGCGTTCAAGCCTGCCGTTTGCCAGGAAATGCCTCAAACGCTGCGCGCTTCGAGCAGGCACTCAGGCCACTGCCCTCTGTTGTTAAGGGCGTTCAAGCCTGCCGTTTGCCAGGCCTCAAATGCCTAATTGGAGCAGGCACTCCGGCCACTGCCCTCTGTTGTTAAGGGCGTTCAAGCCTGCTGTTTGCCAGGCTTCAACTCCCTCAAACGCTGCGCGCCAGCTTCGGGCAGGCACTCAGGCCACTGCCCTCTGTTGTTAAGCGCGTTCAAGCCTGCCGTTTGCCAGGCCTCAAATGCCTCAAACGCTGCGCGGCAGCTTCGAGCAGGCACTCAGGCCACTGCCCTCTGTTGTTAAGGACGTTCAAGCCTGCCGTTTGCCAGGCCTTAAATGCCTCAAACGCTGCGCGGCCGCTTCGAGCAGGCACTCAGGCCACTGCCATCTGTTTTTCACGGGGTTCAAGCCTGCCGTTTGCCAGGCTTCACACCCTCGAAACCCTTCCGCAGACCTTTTCAAGGCAACAACTCTTACAGCTACATGCCCCTGCCATCTGTTTTTCAAGGGGTTCAAGACTGCCGTTCGCCCGGCTTCAAACCCTCCAAACCCTTCCGCAGGCCTTTCCAAGGCAACAACTCTTACAGCTACATGCCCTTTCCAGGGCAACAACTCTTACAGCTACATGCCCCTGCCATCTGTTTTTCAAGGGGTTCAAGACTGCCGTTTGCCCGGCTTCAAACCCTCCAAACCCTCCCGCAAGGCTTTCCAAGGCAACAACTCTTACAGCTACATGCCCCTGCCATCTGTTTTTCAGGGGGTTCAAGACTGCCGTTTGCCCGGCTTCAAACCCTCCAAACCCTTCCGCAGGCCTTTCCAAGGCAACAACTCTTACAGCTACATGCCCCTGCCATTTGTTTTTCAGGGGGTTCAAGACTGCCGTTTGCCCGGCTTCACACCCTCCAAACCCTTCCGCAGGCCTTTCCAAGGCAACAACTCTTACAGCTACATGCCCTTTCCAAGGCAACAACTCTTACAGCTACATCCGTTTGCCCGGCTTCAAACCCTCCAAACGCCGCAGCAGGCCTCCAAGGCAACAACTCTTACAGCTACATGCCCCTGCCATCTACGTCTTTATGTATTTATTTATGTCGTCGTATCTTCGTTCATTCATAAGGATGTATATATATATATGTCTACAGTCTGTGCGCATTCCTTCCTCGGCCTTGAAAGGGGGTCGGCGGCACCAGGGCGTTAGCCCATTTATATATATGCAATGGAAATTAATGGGGGTTATACTACATTGTTTCATGATTATCATGATTATATCTTTAGTATACCATAAACTCTTGAGTATCCCATAAGCTATGGCGTTTCAAGTTTGTGATACATATAGTTCATATGGGCTTACAACGACAGGTTTATGTATATAAATAACAACTATAAACCATATTCATATATATATATTAATAATGTATATGTATATATATATGCATTTATATTCAAAAAAACATATTGTAACATTATATATATATAAACCGTATAAACCATATAAACCATATACACCATATAAACCATATACTGTAAACCATATATGTATATATGTATATATGGTTATACCCCCCATCCCAGTTTTCCATGGTTTTTCTGCGCCCCGTGCCTCCATCGCTGCCGGTCTCCGGCCGGCTGCGCCGGGTGGAGCCGCCACGCTCACGGCTCCAGGCGCCTCGGCCCAGGGGCCCAGGGGCCCAGGGCTGGGACAAGCACATCCCGTGGCTGGCTGGAAAATAACCTAGAGAAAATGGGGAAAATCATGGGAAAATCATAGGACAACTGTAGGAAATCTAGGAAGTAAGTGCAGGTTTAGATGGGAACAAGGAAGTAAATGAAGGTACTTTCCAGCACGCCGCGTTGGATTACGAGAGGGTATACATTCTTCTTTCATAAAAACCTTGTTATAGTAACCCTCATTTGCAAATAGGAAAGTGAATCTTCACTATTTCAATGGTTTTTTTCCATCTTTTTGGGGATCACAGTGTGGAAATATATATATACACATCATATATCTATTTGTCTGTGTTTCAGACAAACACGACAAAAAATGTCTTTTTGTTTAACGTTAAATATTCTCAAACATGTAATATAGCAAAGTCAACAACAATGTTTCTTGACATTTAAATATCTCCAACAAATTTGTTACGTTGTGTTCATACTGTCTTCAGTAAAACTAAACATCAACAAAAACACGAAACATCCATGACTATAAACAGTGCTTGTAATATGCATGGTATGGTATTATAATTAATTATATAAATTGAGGGCAAAGACAGAGTCAGTCACCCGAGTCAGTCGCCCCAAACATCCGAGTCAGTAACCCCATAGGGCAAAGTCAGTCGCGGGTGAACATTAGCACAGGATGCAGGGAAACCATGAACGGAAGACAGAGAGTCAGCAACCAAGAGTCAGTCACCCTTCGGAAGCTGGGAGGAGGATGAAGGAACCTGGAGGAAAATAGAAAGTCAACAACAAAGAATCTGTCACCCCAACAAAGAGTCAGTCAGCCCTGAAAAGCTATCTATCTATCTATCTATCTCTCTCTCTCTCTATCTCTCTATCTCTCTATCTCTCTGTCTCTCTGTCTCTCTGTCTCGCTATCTCTCTACCTCCCTGTCTCTCTGTCTCTCTGTCTCTCTGTCTCTCTGTCTCTCTGTCTCTCTGTCTCTCTGTCTCTCTCTATCCCTCTATCTCTCTATCTCTCTATCTCTCTGTCTCTCTGTCTCTCTCTCTCTCTCTATCCCTCTATCTCTATCCCTATCTATCTATCTATCTCTCTCTCTCTCTCTATCCCTCTATCTCTCTATCTCTCTGTCTCTCTGTCTCTCTGTCTCTCTGTCTCTCTATCTCTCTATCTCTCTATCTCTCTGTCGCTCTGTCTCTCTGTCTCTCTGTCTCGCTATCTCTCTGTCTCTCTATCTCTCTGTCTCTCTGTCTCTCTGTCTCTCTGTCTCTCTCTATCTCTCTCTCTCTCTATCCCTCTATCTCTCTATCCCTCTGTCTCTCTGCCTCGCTATCTCTCTATCTCTCTATCTCTCTCTCTCTCTGTCTCTCTGTCTCTCTGTCTCTCTGTCTCGCTATCTCGCTATCTCTCTATCTCTCTACCTCTCTATCTATCTATCTATCTACCTCTCTCTCTCTCTCTCTCTCTCTCCCTCTCTATCTATCTATCTATCTATCTGTCTATCTGTCTATCTGTCTATCTGTCTATCTGTCTATCTGTCTATCTGTCTATCTGTCTATCTGTCTATCTGTCTATCTGTCTGTCTGTCTGTCTATCTATCTATTTATCTATCCATGCTATCCTTGCTATCCATGCTATCTATGCTATCTATGCTATCTATGCTTTCTATGCTTTCTATGCTTTCTATGCTTTCTATGCTTTCTATGCTTTCTATGCTTTCTATGCTTTCTATGCTTTCTATGCTATCTATGCTATCTATGCTACCTATGCTTTCTATGCTCTCTATGCTTTCTATGCTTTCTATGCTTTCTATGCTTTCTATGCTTTCTATGCTATCTATGCTATCTATGCTATCTATGCTATCTATGCTATCTATATTATCTTTGCTATCTATGCTATCTATGCTATCTATGCTATCTATGCTATCTAATCTAAATCTAATCTAAATCTAGTTTAAATCTAATCTAAATCTAATCTAATCTAATCTAATCTATCTATCTATCTATCTATATTAATCTATTGAGGAATTCATGGGAACATGGAAAAAAGGAACGTCAACAACAAAGAGTCCGTCAAGAAACCTTAACGCACCCCTAAAGAAGCCCCGAAGCAACACTAAGTAAAGCCTAAACCAACCCTCACGCAAACCCCGACAAAACCCTACATTAACCCTAAACCAAACCTAAATAAACCCTACGACCCTAAAACAAGCCCTACAGAAACCCTAAACCAACCCTCAATCAAACCCTGACGAAACCCAAATTTCACCTTAAACCATACCTAAATAAATCCTAAACCAAGCCTAAATAAACCCAAAACCAACACTAAGCAAACCCTAAAGAGACCCGAAAACAAACCTTGACGAAATCCAACATTGACCATTAACCCGAAGCTAACCTCAAATAAAACCTAAACCAAGCCTGAATATACCCTACACCAAGCCGAAATAAACCCTAATCCAACCTTTACACAAACCCTGATGAAACCCTAACTTAACTTTAAACCAAGCCTTAAAAACCCTAAACCAGGCCTAAATAAACCCCAAACTAATGCTAAGTAGGCCCTAAATATACCCTAAACCAAACCTTGACGAAACCCTACATTAGCCCTAAACCAACCCTAAATAAAATCCAAATCAAGCCTGAATATACCCTAAACCGTATGTTGAGTTGTAAGCAAGAAAGGTCAATTGGCAATCATCTGAAGAGCCAGTGCCTGAAAGAGACATGCATGTTGCATGTTTGAAAAAACATGCATATATATATATAGATTTAAATAATTATCAATATATTATATATGTATATGGAAATGGAAGCACACCGCAGTGCAGTCACCCCTCGCCCCAGTGGGGACGCGGAGGGTGACTGACTCCGACGTGGGGGGTGATTGACTCGCTGCGCTCTGACTCTGTCAGTGGGTGACTGATTCCGTCTGCTCTCCATTGACAATAATGTCCATTCTTAGAAAAATCCACTGGGTATGGGTGTTCCTGGCCATTTCATCTGATGGCATCATGGTAGCAAAACAGGAGTGGCAAAACGATTGAATCGAGCAGGCAATTGACATCCCGAACATCCTGAGTCTGAATGAAAGCTTTACTTTTGCTGAAACGATGTCGGGGTTGATGTAATATGCAAGTTCTGAGTGGGACAAACCCCTTGTGCCGTGTTCATACGGTGGATCTGTCTCATTCCTACACTGGCTAGTGGACATGGTTTTCCCGAATTTCATTGCTTTTCATTTGGTCATTATAATTCCTACTATCCAATTGGTGTCAATTCTTTCATGTATTAATTCCTGCCATTTCCTGCCATAAATCGCATCATATGAACTACTGTATGTGCATGAACATAAATAAAATATATGTACGTACTAAAGTGCACTGGTACAAAACAAACCAAAACAACTCAGATTTGTTCTATCACTAAAAATGGTCCCATGTAACACATTGATGTGAGTTTCTCCTTTGGAAATCAACCCATTTGCGGATCAACAGCCTTCCCATTGAGCTAAACATGCCACCGGGGGAGTAAGGTTCGTCCAATTTGGACCCATAGTAATAGCCTCCTTGCAGCGCTTGGGGACTGGGATGAAACCTGAAATTAAGATTGATGGTTACTAATTAAGTTACTCCACCCGCAAAAAATCGTCAGTCAACCATTTGCATCATGTAGTTATAATAGGAATCAAAAAAATATCAGTAACATCCCAGTACTCAACTGGTTAACTAAGTATGATACTACTGCGCTGGGATATTTATTATTTTTCCTTTATCCAGTCACATTTTTCAGGGATCCCAATTGAAAGGATGGTACATGTTCTGCATCATCACAGAGTCCAACAGATTTCTGAAGATATCTGAAGTGTTGCTGGTGTTTAGTGACCTTTTTGGGGAAGACTTGTGATTGTTTGAAAAACACTTGAACATATACAAAGGGGTTTACCTTTTTTGCCTGATGTGATCCTCAAATCGCAAACATGGCGCACGTTCATTCAGGTCTAGATGGCTCTCGCAAAGACACAAAATAAACAAACACCAGGCAAAATATTGATACTATATTTAATCTCACATCGTGATGGTTCCCATCCAATGATGAGATGCCTCCATGGGCAGCTTGAACAGCGTACACATGCTGAAGGTACCAAATCGAGTCAAACCGATCCAAACCACAAATCGCTGATATGTTGGAATTCCAGGGTTCCTAACTCGTGGAAGTCAGTATCCAATCGAAACTAAACCTATGATATATCGGCATTCACTGTTTGTCATGCTTGGTGCTTGACACTCTTCCCTAGGTCATGGGCACTGGATGAGACTAGCACACACACCTCTCTACTTCAAAAAGATGGATGGCCCATCAAGTTTCCGATTCTCCCCATGCTTGTCCTACCCCCCAATCGATCCATTGATTGTCAACCATTTTGCTGAAATCGTCATTTTCGTATCGTTGCATCAAAAAACAAGATGCAGCTCACGAACCCGAATGCAGTCACGTAGAAGACTTTTGTGAAACAAATGATATTTTTGAACAGTCTTGTATATTTTTGCTCTGTTGCCGTACTAGTGCACTGTAAACCGTGGAACGCGAAGAGGGTGGAGTGCAAAGTGTGGGGTGTGAGAAAAATGGAGTGTTGAGTGAGGAATGTAGTGCATAGAGTGTGAAGTGGAGATTGTGGAGTGTGGAGTGTAAATTGTAAAGTGTGGGCTGGGTGTAAAGTGTAGAGTGCGGAGTGCAAAGTGCAAAGCGCAGAGTGTGGAGTGTACAGTGTAAAGTGTGGAGTGTAGAGTGTAAAGTGTAAAGTGTGGAGTGTGTAGTGTGGAGTGTGAAGTGTAGAGTGTGGAGTGTGGAGTGTAAAGTGTGGAGTGTAAAGTGTGAAGTGTAAAGTGTGGAGAGCAAAGTTCAGAGTGTCAAGTGTAAAGTGTGGTGTGTGAAGTGTAAAGTGCGGAGTGTGGAGTGTAAAGTGTAAAGCGTGGTGTGTAAAGTGTGAAGTGTGGAGTGTAAAGTGTAAAGTGTAAAGTGTAAAGTGTGGAGTGGAAAGTGTAAAGTGCGGAGTGGAAAGTGTAAAGTGTGGAGTGTGCAGTGTAAAGTGTGGAGTGCAAAGTGTTGAGTGTAAAGTGTAAAGTGTCGAATGTGGAGTGTAAAGTGTAAAGTGTGAAGTGTGGAGTGCAAAGTGTGGAGTGTGGAGTGTAAAGTGTGGTGTGTGGAGTGTAAAGTGTCGAGTGTAAAGTGTAAAGTGTCGAGTGCGGAGTGTAAAGTGTGGAGTGTGTAGTGTGGAGTGTCGAGTGTGGAGTGTAAAGTGTAAAGTGTGGAGTGCAAAGTTTGGAGTGTGGAGTGTAAAGTGTAAAGTGTGGAGTGTGGAGTGCAAAGTGCAAAGTGCAAAGTGTAAAGTGTAAACTGTAAAGTGTGGAGTGTAAAGTGTAAAGTATGGAGAGTGGAGTGTAAAGTGTGGAGTGTAAACTGTAAAGTAGGGAGTGTAAATTGTAGAGTGTAGTGCGTGGAATAAAAAGTGTGAAGTGTGGAGTGTAAAGTGTTGAGTGTAAAGTGTGGAATGTAAAGTGCAAAGTGGAGTGTGGAGTGGAAAGTGTAAAGTGTTGAGTCTGGAGTGTAAAGTGTAAAGTGTAAAGGGTGGAGTGTGGAGTGTAGTGTGTGGAGTCTAACTGTAGAGTGTAGAGTGTGGAGTGTAAGGTGTAACGTGTGGAGTGTAGAGTGTGGAGTGTCATCCCATGCCAAAACATGCTACGCCTGCCACGGAATTTGCAGGGTGTCACCAAGTCACGCAGCTCTGACATTGCGATTTGCAAAAACACGCAACGCGACACGTCTGAAGTGTTGCGCTTGCCACGCAAAATGACGATGGAGGTCTCCAAAGTGCTACGCCTGTCACGCAAACTGCAACGCATCTTCTGAAAACGACGCAAAAGTATTGGGCCTGGCGCCCGCCACACAAAACGACTTTCGATACGCTTGCAGACACATGAGAATGTCAGGAAGCGCCACGCCTGCCACGCAAAACGACATTTTGACCGGCAAAGGGGGAGGCGCTGGCTTTCCTTTCGGCGGCGCAACGTTCGTGGGTGGACCTGCTGTCGGTGGCAGCGGAGGGGGCGGCTTCTTGGGTGCCAATGGAAGAAACTCAGATCCGTCGCTGTCGTTTTCAACCTCAACAAGAACAAAGCTCTCATCGTCTTCTTCCGGAGGCGCAGGCGGCCCTGCTTCTTGCCATCCTTCGGTTTCGGGCTGTTCCCAGCCAGTGGAAGGGACATAGACTTCAGAAAGGGTCTCAGATCGGTCCCGACTGCTCACGTTGCTGAGTTTGGGCCGGACCGGCCTCAAGTCCTCTCGACTTCCTCCTCCAGCATATGGCTGGGCTGCTCTGGGATAAGCCCGGGAGGCCTGCTACCAGAAGAGGCAGCCTTTGGCTGAGGCGGCATCTGCGGAGGAGCCTTCCTGGGAGCTCCGGCTGCATCTGCTGATCGAGGAGCACCACCAATCTTTGAAAAGTCTGGCGGGGCTTTTCGTGGCCGGGGCTGTGCTCCAAGCTTCGAAAAGTCTGGTGGGGCTTTTCGCGGCCGGGGCTGTGCCCCAGGCGCAGTACTTGGGGCTGCCTTTGGAGGCGTTGATGGTCGTTCAAACTGAGAGCGCGCCCAGTTGTACTGCTCCTGTGTTGCCTGTTTGGCATAGGCTCCGGCTGGTGACGTATTTGCGCTTTGTGCTGGAGGTGGCCAGTGATGGGCCGGCCCAGCATCTCTTCGTGATCGGGTGCGAGCGGGCCGGAGCGGCCCCATCATGTGTTTCCAGTGGGTATAGGCTGTAGCCATCACTGGATCAATGAAGATCTCCTTCACAGTTCCCAACATCTTGAACTCTTCTTCTTTCTGTTTCTGCACTGCGAGACTGCTACTGGACCATCGGTCAGGATGCAGCTCACGGACTCGGCGGCGGTACGCTGCTAGAACCCTGCAGGCGGAGCATTTATAGGTACTCCCAAGAAATCATGGAGGTCTAGGCCAGGGTGCTGTGCTATGAACAAGCTTGAGGCATTGTGCCGGTCAGCTGCAGCAGCCTTTCTGCCTTGGTCAAGGTCCTCGTTGGTGCAATCCATGCTGCCCGCACGGGTGGCAAAGGTGACCCGACGGTCAGGTGCCCATGAAAATGGCCTTTGTCCTTTTGAGCCACGCACACGGTGATTCCTCTCATGCCCTGGAGGTTCTCCGGGATTCAAGCCAAACTCAAGTTCTGAACCTAGACCAGAACCAGAAGCAACTTGGGGGTGATCTCTAGCCCGGGCATCCTTTTGACTGGGAAGAGTGATCAATTGTGATTTCAACATTCCCCGAGAAACTCCTTTTAGCGCAGTGTGGTCCTCATAAAGATATGCGTGAACCGCATCTGAAGTCCAACCTCCATACCTCTTAAGCCTCTCAAGATCTCCGGTGCTTGCAAAAAAAGCGGTTGCCCCCCCTTTCTCAAAGAGTGTGACCCTGCAAGCTCGCTAGGGAACCCAGCTGCTAATGCTGCAATTCTGATGAAATGAGTGATACCTTCCCTGTCCAACCCGGCACCACTTTCATACCGGAAGAGGGGCGCCTCGTCTGCTGGACGCCGCCATCGATGCGGCTGCAGTACCTGGAGCGCGGCAAGAGCTTCGACTGGGCACAAGTCTCCACCGGACCGGTGGTGGGAGCGGGCTTGACCTCTCCCATATTGATCGGTTTTTGAAGACTTGATCTGAACAACCACCTCATCAGCCTGTGGACCTTTACAAGGCTTCCCTTGGTGATAAAAAGCCACATCAGCAGGGCGAAGCGCCCTATTCAGGGGGTCGCTACCGTCTACTTGGGGAAGTAGCTCGCTGGCCCTCATCATGAAAAATCAGCCAGTGAGAAGAGCCCCCTTGATAATGGTTTGATCAACAACCGAAAAACCACTGCCCTTAATATGTTGAATTAGCCATCTTAGCATGTTCGGGGTCACTGGAAGCTTCCTTTTTGGTGCCCCTTCCCACCTTTGGAGGCCTGCGACAGCAGCCCACAACCTGGGTCGCCCCGCCAAGGGGTCTCCGTAGCCTGCAGCCACGTGTGCGTATCTAATGGCGGACAATCTCTGCTTGATGCCACCTGTGGACCTTTTCATCACCTGATGCAGAAATACCACAAAGCGGATCAGCCTGCGCTCATCTTCACTGCGTTCGCCATCTAGGAAGAGCGGAGCGCTCGAAGCGCTGTTGAAGAGGACCCACTGTTTCCAACCTGGGGCGTACACGCGGCGGGTGGAGTCAGCGAGCTTTGAAAGGACTGCTTCCATAGCAATGCTGTAAAGCTGTGATGCCCCCCCTAAACTTCTGGAAGCGGGTGGAGCTGTTTGGAAACCTTGGAAAGGAGAGGTTTTGCAGCCTTTCCAATAGACACGGAGAGGCCACAGGAAAGGCCACAGGTTGGAGCCTCAAAAGAAGCGTTTCGTGGGAGACTTCCTTTCACACTGTGTAGCCACAAAATCGACGTTTTCCTACGACGAGTTTTCCTTTGAACCTCAAAATTTGCTACCCCAAAATCGATGTTTCGTGCGAGGCTTCCGTCAATTTTCATCACATGCCGCCAAATGCCACGCCTGCCACGGAATCCAAAGTGCTGCGCCTGCCACGAAAAGTGCAACTCATCTTCTGAAAACGACGCTACAGTATATTGCGCCTGCGTTATGAAACATGTTGGAATGTCACAAAGTGCCACGCCTGCCACGCGAAACGAGGCTACGCGACGTTTGAAACCTCCAAAAGTGACCACTTTTGCAAAACTCGCCAGAGGCACGACCATAGCGACCTCGCGCGGACGGTTGTGAGCGGTTGCGGACGGTTGCGGACGGTTGCGCCACGTCTGGCAAACACAGCCTCAACCCCCAACCCCCCAGAGTGAAACGGGAACCCTCGCTACGCATTCGGGAATAAAGATTCTGGGATTCTATCATTTTCTTTGAATCAGACTATAACAAACATGTTATGTTTTAACTTACCAATTACTTTCACGATCTTTCATGTTAGTAGAGCAAAACGGCTCCACCATCCCCAATTTTACCCTTCTTATATTTGGTCATGTTTGGTATAAACCATGAAAATATATCGAAAACATTATGTTTGGTATAAACTAGAAAAACTTCAATATTAACGGTTATGGCATTGCTTTATTAACATGAATCCCTTAATAACTGTAGATGACTGAGTAAAGGATCATATCATGTATCATCCCAAGCAATTGGGATTCATATGATTAATCTGAATCCCGTTTCGTCCATTGTTACATGCTAACCATTAACCATTCATAAATCACCATTAATGGTTGTATCATTGTATGATTAGCATGTATTCACGAATTAACCATTAATAAACCACCATTACCAACAATCACCATTCATAAATCACCATTATTAACCATTAAGAAACAGTGATGCTAACCATTAACCATTCAGAAACTGGAGATTGGACCAGTACTAACATCACTGTGAAACCTCTCCAGTCCTCCAGGCGCCGACTCGCGCCGCAGCGGCATCGGTGCTGGCACCGCTGGCACAGCGGCGCCCTTGCGCTTGGGGCTATCGGGCCGTAGGCTTTGACCTGCGTAGGCTTTGGGATGTCATGGTGGCTTTAAGGGTGAAACCTACACGAACAGGGATTTATATAAGTTGATTTAAGTGATTTAAACCATACACAAATTATACATATTGTGATTTTGATATGATTTTACCAAGAAGTTTGAGAATCAATCTATTGACTTCAGGAAAACGTCCGCACGGAAAACGTGTTTTTTACCACCAGCAACTGGGTTTTCTTGTAATTCTCCCTTCAGCCAATTGTGGGCTTGAATGGAAAATTCACATGCAGTATGCTTTGTTTACTACAAACTAAACATGGGGAACAGTGATTAAGCCCGAATGTAGTGAATGTTTGGTTTGCAATTGCTTGTTACAGCAAAGAATTCAGATCATATGGGGATCATGTACCAAACATCTCCACCTGACGACACACTTGAGAAAATATCATATTATACGTGTACCAACCAAATGAGGATAGTGATCGGATAATGTTGAAGCTCTACGCAAAGCTTAGAGACGAGACAGAAAGTTAACATTAACCTGGCAATGATATATTCCCGACGGGTACATGCGGGTTCAATCTCAACCGAAAGTGTCCGGTTATATCCTGTTATGTCATGAAGTATCTGTCCATGTTTGGTACGAGATCTGACACAAAAATAGATTTTGCCGTATGTAGCCAACATAATTTCCTTTGGATTGGAAGACTTGTTTTTTCTTATTGGCTTATATATTTAAAATGCTGGATGGATGTTTTTTTGCCAATGTCTGCATCCCGATGGAATGTCCTACGCAATTTGTGCTACGAGCTTGGAGAGATTTGACACCGGGGTGCCTGCCGATTGAGATCCGTGAATGAAGCTGCTTTGCCGCAGATGAAGGTGAATAAAATCAGACATCCTGAAAAATGAAGCGTCCATGCTGTCAATGACTAATACATCATGTTTCGAATTCAACATTGCCATAAACTGGGAGTCCATCCGCCATTTCTGGGCAAACACAGATGTTGAAACCCATTTTTGTATATGTCTGCGACTTCAAATCTCCATCATATCATTATCACCATTGTGGTTGGTGCATTCTAATCACATCTTTGTGTTCATTAGATCACATTCAATCCATAATTTTCAGTTTTTTGGCTGATTAAACCCTAAAAACCAAAAAACACTAATGTTGCTTGGATATGCTAAACAAACAGCATTGTCATGTCACCGGGTTATTCACCATTAAGGACAAACTACTCATCGTGTTACATCCTCATGACATCTCCGAAAAGTGGTTGGGAAAACATGTTTATACTCCGTTGTTTTCGTGTCAAACAATCACTGCTTCCCAGTTAATTTTCATTGACATAATATCCATTCTGTTTTGCTTAGGATGGCGAGTCACTTGCGCACACAAAATTGACTCAGTTGCGCACACAGGATTCTGACTCACTTGCGCACACAAAAGTGTCTCAGTTGTACACACAGAGCCTTCGGGGGATGGGGTGGGGCTCGTCAACGTCATTATGTTTCTTGCTGTCCAGCAGACACAGGCACTGCTCTTTCATGATCAGTTGCCGGTGGGGTGGGGTGGGGTGGGGTAATCTAGTCGCGGTCGCGCCGTTCTACATATAACCTAAGGTGAGGCTATCGCCACGGTATCTACAACCAATATATCAACCGTCGCGTTATATATAACAAAAGTGCAAAACGACAGACATCAAAACGCAGCACAGCTGAAATCCAAGGACATCACTGCAGAGACCGCGTGGGGACAATAGTAGAGCCGAGACACGCAAGAGGGCAGGGTCAATACCGGACCACTGATGCGCGTTACTTACTGACAAGCACATAGTCCCAACGGTTCGCGAATGCATCATCATCATCATCATCACCACCATCACCGTCATCAGCATCTTAAGGACACCAGCATCCGCGTGCACAACTGAGTTGGTTTCTCGCGTGCACAACCGATTCGGTTTTCGCGTGCGCAACCGAGGCCCTAAGCGCTTACGCTCCACCATGTGTGAATATTTTTGTTGATAAGATCCACAACTATCGAAAAAACACCACCCCTCAACCAAGTACCACAAGGGCCGCGCCTGGCTCCGACACCTTGCGCTGAACCGAAATCCTGTGGCATTTCACCACGGAAAACTGGAGATTTCATGGGTGCCCCAAAATTTCTAGATGGATTTTTGTATGAATTACTTGGGGACACACTTAGTTCATATATCATTTCTGCACGCTCAAAAATGAAGGTTATATCCTCCTTTCGTTAGACATAGATATGGACAACGGATGAAAAGGCCCATTTATAGATTGTTTAATTTTGTTTAATCTTAGTTACCTAGTAAACACGGCCATGTCAAACCTCAAACTTTGGGATTGTCCGAGAAAATATGGGGATGTTAACCAATAAATCAACGGCTGCGGGTGGTTGATACCTTCATCACAAGGTGGGGCCCCCGTTTACGATAGCAAAGTTTGGTGCCATTCACTCAGATTTCACCGTTGGTTTTATGGTGGATCTATGGTTCATGGTCTATAAGCCAACAAAAGCCCATCTTGTGAACTGGCTAGCAGGGAACACCCAAACAGGATGACCAAAATCTGGGTGGTGATCTAGCCGTCCACAGCAAGATGCGCACCAACTGGGGTTCTCTGGATGAACACACCCTGGTTGACTGAGTGCAAGTGATAGGAACCTCCCTTCAAGTGGGATCATGATCTTGATATATCTTGAAATAACCTCGCAAACAGTGAATCTTTGGCTGGATTTGGCATATTCTCTCATATATCCTCATATAACAATGATAAATCGTCCCTCAAATACCATTCACCAAGCTTTCCTCAGTTTGGGCAAGCTAAATCTCACTAAATAACCATGTTTCTGTGCGAAATCCACCTTTCACCCAGCTTACCTCACGGTGCCCACAACGGGGCCCCCGGCTTTCTGGGAGCAGCTTCTGGAGTGCCTGGCCAGGCTCAGAGGCTCCAACTGTAACTTCTACAGTGCATGTTATAGCCATATAGCCAGTTATGACTGGCGGAAAACAACCATGTTTTGATTTTTTATATTACCTGAGTTCCAGAAATTATTTCATCCCATGTAGAACTTCTTTTTTTGCCATAACTGAAGAATTACCCTCTGGTTTCATCTGTGGTTCGATGACTTCCCAGTTACAAATTTCGAACCCACAAACTGACTCAAGAAATTCATAAACGAACCAACATTCATCAAGACTTGAAATTCAACAAGTTAATAGCAAGATCATGCACTATAAATAATATAATATATAATATAAAATATATAATATATGATATGTAACATATAATATATAATATACAATATATATATATGATTTATGATATATGATATATAATATATAATATATAATATATCATATAGCATATAGCATATATCATATATAATATAATGTGTATATATAAATAATATGATATATAATATACAGATATTTGCAGATGATATAATATAATATAATACAATATAACACAATATAATACAATATATGTATATATATATTATAATATATAATATATAAAATACAAACAATATAATATAATACAATATAATATAATAATATATATATACATATTATGTATGATTCTATACGTCACCATCTGGGCTGCTTTACGGTTGCACTTACCCATCAGCTCATGGGCGGCGCTCTCGTCGACCTCTTTGAAGCTCCTCAAGAGCTCTGTCATCGAAGCGCCATTCTCAGCATCGACCTTAACCGAGAACTTGCACTGCCTGTCTCGTTCTGGTACGTGGTACCGGGATCCACTTGTTCTAGTGCTCTTTCCGCACTGCAGAAGAACCCTTGCCAATACGTATGCACAAAGCAACCCCACCAAAAAATGATAGACAAGTAGATTCCGAGCAACAAGGTGATAAATTGATCAATTGAACCTTGTTTCATCTTTCTGCTGGCGTATTATGTATATATATATATATACACATTCACATATTATACATATTTCTACAAAGCTGAAAAAAAACTCGTTGCTTCTCGGATCCCTCCCGCGGCCTGTGACGCTATTGGACCTGGCGAGCCAGTTGCAGGAGTTCTTTTCATCACATGTTCAGCCCATTTATAAGTCTGGGTTAATAATAATAAATAATAATAATAACAATAATAATAATAATAATTCACTAACCTGAATTAAGGCCACAGTGAGGTCGTTATAATTTACCCCTTAATACGTGGTTTTAATAGGGCCCTTCCACATGCCACAACATTTTCGATGTGTTTTTTCAAATGGATTCCCCTTCCACAAGTGTAAATCATCGCAGGGAAATGATGCCAGCGAAACTCGTTTGTAGATGGAACTGGGGTATTCTCAAAGCCCAATATCTGGGGTCTCACCAGCGAGTTACTATGCCAACATTTTTTTTTTTTAAATGGAAGTTTTTTCCCCCCAACAAAAAAAATGGTGTGGAAAAAAAGATTGGAACATATCCCGAAATAGCCAATGGGGGGGCTGATCAACTTCCAATGGCTTGAAAAACCGGCGGAAGCCTGGAAAAGGGTATTCAGAGGGCAGTTGACTTGACTTTCATGGTTAACCCAACAACATAGATCAGTCTGGATATAGCTTCTAGTAGAATTTACAGTAGTAGAATTACATTTTATTGGACCAATTCAAATTGAAAGATCACATCCTTGAATCATCACAGGTGTTGGTCTGTTCAGACTGCTCACAGATATACACCCATCTGACTGTTGGATGGGATTATCAAAACATTATGAAACAACCTGAAAATCCCATTGTTGGAAAATCCCATTCAACAACTGTTGGATAATCCCATTACCATAATAACATCTGGTTGTTGGGATTGTATCGGTATTGGTTTCCCTTGAATTCTGCAATCCTGAACTCGTCACAAGTACTTCCACCCGTTGCCATTTCTCAATCGATCCCACTTGATCACCATGGAAGCTCTTTGGCTCCAAATGTCTTGTGGTTTCTGTGACTGGCTGAACTTTGAAGCTGTGGAAAAAGGGTTCACCACACAAATACATAGCGGAAAGAAATCAGAAGGCTCTTGCGGAACAAGTTCTCTACTTCTTTGGGAAGATGGTAAGTGCTAAACAAACCTGCTTTGAAATCTTGAAACCTACAGACCAAGAAGGATACCAACTTTGGTGCCCCAATGTGTTTAGCGTCACACGTTGCAGCTGGTCTTGCGCCAGCGACTGCCGTTGTCCCAGAGAATCTCGGGCGGCCCGGTGGCCAACGGACCGTCCAAGATGCCACCTGGTCACGACGGACCATAAGGATATGGCCCCATCATGAAGGATTTCTGTTGTAATAGGTATAAGCCCTATGGGTATACAATCCAAGTCTTCTCATAGTAATGGCAACTGGATGATATTATATGATAAGTGGAAGATGTTGGGTCAATTCATATTACATATATCATGTCATATATATAATTAAACATATACTATATATATATACACTATATATTATAGTATAGAATGCTCGCCATAGGGTCCACCGAGGAGATCCAATACTTCACCAAGGTTTTCAAGGGGTAGAATGTTCCGGACCTTTGCATCAAATGAGCCTGGCCAATCGGCCAATCCTTTCTTGGCTGCTTTGAATTTCTCATATATATATATAATATATACTGTATACTATGGCAAGAACATATAGTATGTATATACATGTATATATATATACATTGTATATATTGTTAACATACTATAGTTAAAGCATCTCAAAAACGAAAACCCCGGCAGATCCCGGCAGTCCTTCCGTTCCATCACCGCAACAACCCCTCGCAACTTGCCACGCCTTGCCACACGCCCCGCAACTCTTTGGGTCCACCGATGGGGCTCCAATCCACCCAGAACTGCCGAGGAACCCCGGCCAGGCGCAAGATCAAGGGAGCTCCTTGGGGCCACCAGGTAGAATAGTTGGTTTATGTATGGGGATGATATGGGTTGTATGGGCTTATTAATTCTGGATATACTGAATGTTGGGTTCCCTACCAACTAAATTGTACTGTATACTAAGGCTTCAGTAGTCCGTACAAGTAAGGCCCTCAATGGCTCAATGTGTATGCCTGGAATCCAGAAAGACATGGTATGAGTCAAGCCATTGGGGCACCACCTCTGTTGGGGGATCACAAATTGTGACCCAAACATCTAGCTGCCTGGGGAGTTACACATCCAAATCAAGGTCGTTTTGGTACATATCAATACGGAATTCATTCGAAATGTAAGGCCGAAGGACCTGCAAACAAAATTCACAATTTCTGGAAAGCTAAACCACATTCTTTACTGATGGCATCACCTTTTTAAAGTGCTACATGTTTTTCACCAACACAACGGCAGCTCCTTGGATTCCGGTGGAGGTCAGTTGCCAGCTTTGCCTGTTCGGCTTGGTGCCGGACACGGTGGCAGTGCCATTTCCTGGGAGTTGGTGATTAGAAAATGGGATACCCTCTGGTAATTTGTTACATAGCTATTGAAAATGGCCCAGTCGAAATAGTGGATTTTCCCAGCTAGAAAATGGTGGATCTTTCCATAGTTATGTAAACGTTTACCAGAGGGTAGTCTGGATGGACACTAAAATTATGCACCAGGCAGGGCAACTAAAATGATAACTGTGAAACACATTACCACACGGGATATCATGGGTTTTTTTCATGGGACCATCGAGCAACTGCTGGATTTCGCAACCATCCACAGCATTTTTGTATGTCTCAAAATTGGGTACCCCAACCATTGGATGGTTGATACTAGCTGGTTGGTGGTTTTAACCATCTTGAAAAATATGAAAGTCAATGGGAAGGATTATCCCATATATTATGGAAAAATGATTGAAACCACCAACCAGCTAAAAATGGACGAATACCCATATATCACATTGATTTGCTAAGCAATGACCATCCATTCCTGTAGGAATTTGGGTTGACCAATTGGTTGAAGTGGTTGGTAGTTTGAAGCCATTCAAAATATGAGTCATCTCAACCAAAGATCCGACGTATGATTCAACAACAAAACTTGTGTGAAACATGTGTGAACCCCCCAGCCAGAGATTTTACCATAAAAACATGTATTCAAGACCACAAGAGTGAGGGTTTCAACCATTGAAGGTGGAAACTACTCCACAAAATATGGATTTCACGTCATCAACCGGGGATCAACGTTATACAATCAGGATTTCATGCCACACCCTCTGCTAAACTATCATTACCATTGAAAATCACCAGTAAATGGGCAATTTTCCGTAGCTACGTTAGTTTACATAGCGGGGTAAGATGCGAATCTGCCAACAAACCTATGATTTAAGGTCGCAGAGCATAGCATCACCCTGGGGAGAATTCGGATGTCACCGGTGTCCTCCGGGATGCGGACATAACACGACCCATCATGGTGACCCATGGTTTTATGCATCCCATCCTCCATATTTTGCTGCTGTAATTCCAAGAAATCCCAAGCGTTTTTTTTTTCAAATCATCCCCAGCTGAAACATCGGAGATCTCCCAGGTACCAGCTGAAACGTTTGTCAGGTCCCAGTGGCTCACCACAATGGTCGCCGTGCCACCCAGTTCTGGTGGGATCTCCCAGGTGCCGTTAAAGGTGGAGCCTTCCAAGCAATGAAATCTGGATGGTGTGGTAATATCCCAAAGAAACAAACAGAAAAACCACATAAACAAATGAAGAAACAAAAAACATACATCCCCGAAAATCACCATCTCATGGCTTGGGGACCACAAGCCATGAATAGATCCAATGCTAAACCAGAGGGGCGATAGGAGTATTTACTCTCTGCAAAAATGGATTAGTTCAGAGTTTTCTGGAGTGATTAATCTCCATCATAAATCCAACATTCTATATCTGGAGTGATTAATCTCCATTGAAAATCCAATAGATCTATCCAGTAATAGATGTTCCATTAGATCATAATCCAATAGATTCAATAGATCCTTTGTCATGAACTTTATGGCACATCCCCGAACTAAATGGAGGTTCTCATGGAAATTTCCGCGGATTTGCCGGCAAGCCACGTTTGATGACAGAGGGTATGTCCCAGGATGATCCCAATTCTCCCTGTACATCCCAAACGTATTAGTTCAACCTACATAAATCATATCGAAACCATAGAAATCATGAATATCTCCATTCCAATCATTTTCATATCCCATTCATCTCCATTCCAAAAGCCTCCAATTATCCGAATGAAACCACAATTTTCCCATGGAATATTTCGAAACCTTATCTATAAATCTCATTAAACCCATAGAAATCCCATAGAAACCCATAGAAACCCATAGAAATCCCATAGAAATCCTATAGAAATCCCATAGAAATCCCGTAGAAATCCCGTAGAAATCCCGTTGAAACCCATGGAAAAGCCATGGAAATCAAGGCATCTCCAGGCCTTCGCACTCCTCGGCCCCCGCTCGGCTGGGTGCCAACCATAGAGCCACTGAGGTCCCAAGGTGACCTTGGACGGAAGTGCGGAGGCCAACACGGGAAAAACAACTGAATGTTCCAACTACAAAATATCATAAATAATAATAATAAAAATAAAAATAATAATATCATAAATAATAGTAATAATAATAGTAATAATAATATCATAAATAGTAATATCATAAATAATAATAATAATATCATAAATAATAATAACAATAATAATAATATCATAAATAATAATAATAATATCATAAATAATAATAATAATGATAATAATATCATAAATAATAATAATACTACTAATAATAATAATATCATAAATAATAATAATAATATCATAAATAAAAATAATAATAATACTAATATATATATGTTATAACTTATAACATGAATATTATGAGATAATAAAATGTATTCCTTGAGATTAGTGCCATATTCATCCATACTCTGAATTTGGAAACCACAAAACAATCATAGAATATGAACATGAATATAGAACATAAATCAGTTCGAAGGAGAAACTATCTACCTCATTTTTTTGTGGCAACAAATGCAGAATCTTGGATTTGAACTTTCTGCAACGATTTGGCCACTTGGGGGGACATCCTGCAATTCAGCTTGCTGCAGCATGAATAATCAGGAATCCAACCCATGGTTTCGCACCGGTTTTTCGGCGATCTCCAATCCATGGTAACTGCTTGCAGGACATGCCACGTCGTCCGGCTGTCGCTCTCGCCGCCGCTGCCATGGCCACCACCGAGAACACGGCCCGTCGCTGTGACCAAAGGCTGGCAGGTGCTGCAGCCTCCTTGGGGGATTGGTCAGTCAATCATCGGAAATAGACGAGTCATGAATCATGACAAGTACTTCAGGCATCATCTACTTCAAGACCTTCTGTACTTACGGGACGCTTGAAGTGGTAACACTATATTCCCATATATATATATACATATACATATTTCTAGTTACAGTCCTTTATCCATGAACAACAAATAATGGGCCATCCATAACCTGTATCATGAAAGACAACACATTGTCCTTTTAATGGTTTGGTCGTTGCTCATTGCAGTGTAATTCTACATATTTCTACATAACATACCGATAATCAGTTTGTATGACTTGGACTGATTTGGTTGGCTTGTCAGATTGATACTCCCTACGAAATCCCTACTAATGACGATTAATCCCCATTCATCCCTATTAATCCCCACTATATACTCCTCATGAATGTCTAGATGTTGCTGGAAAAAAAACATCGCTCCGAAGCCGCCAAGCAGCCGCAAAGCGTTGACGGAGTCCAGGGCTTGCGAAGCCTTCGCCTGCCGACGCGATCCTCGCTGCGACGGCAGTGGGAACTGCCTCCATGGCCACGGAGAAACTGAGGAATTGTAGATCTTTGAGCCAATGGCACCTTTTGCTGTCAAGGAATATGCAAAAAAACAGGAATTTACACGGCTTTTACTATCATAATTATCATATCATATCTGATCTATGGGAGTTTCCTGCACATATTCCCTCAAACGACTGTGCAAAAGGCATGATGAGGGAACGCCATTGTCCAATGATGCCACACGTTTCACACCCTGCCTGCGGACTTCCAGTACTGGTGGGCAACCGCTCCAAGATCTTTGAAACAACCACTTTGAATTGAGTACTTCAAGCAACAATATAAACCCGGTGCCAACACATCACAAAGAACCAGGCCAATATTGTACAACTATGTGTCATTCACGTTATGTTTTTTTTAAAAAATATCTGCCATATTTGAAACCATGTGGCACTGGATTTCAGATTCCTCATCTTGACGTCCCTTCCTGCTGCAGTTCTCCGTGGACCGCCATCCCTTGAGCCTGGATGACTTTTGGCGATCCTGGGCCATCTCCTGCAAAATGGGTAGCCAGCTTCAAACATGCGGATGCTTTGGGGTTGGCGGTCACTTCAAGCAACGAGAGGGCGATCACCATCAACATCAATAAACATACTTGAGATATCTTGAGATTCTGGTATTCCTGAAAGCTCTGGAACCCAAAACAAGGCTTACCCGACTAAACTGAAACATTTCATGGTGGATTGTCGTGTTGTTGTCCGCATTTCTGTGAAACAACATGCTGATGGATCTTGCACAATGTGAATTTACTATGAGTCTATGAGGTAGCCATGGATGTTCATAGCCGTTTCCCACGTCCAATTGTACCTGAAGAAATTTGCAGCACAATCCAGGAAAACCTGATGACACATGGACAATTTAAGCTGGCAAGAGAGAATCCCCATTCACAGCAATTTGGGTTGATGATATGTCCGTTAAAACTGGGGGTTTCCCATTGCCATCTTTGATTACAAGGTGGCTACCCCATGTTTGGTGAAACCTGCAGGCAAAATACCTCCATGGCTTAGCCTGAAAAATGAGGCAAGGGGCGTCACACCCTGAAAAAATGCAACATTTGCATTGGGAATGTGATGACGAAGAACTTTGGATTTGGGCGTACCACATGTCGACAAACCTCATCTGGATCCAGGTACCTTCCGAGAAAGCAAAACCGATTGATGAGTCAAGTGCCTTATTTCCATTGCAACCACAATTGGTTGATTTTCAGCAAAAGCCTTGTCCCTTTCTTAAACTTGTTTTGTTTGAAAACAGAATGATGCTTTTTTGTGTTCGGTTTTGCATGAGTTTCCCCACTAAGCCTTGCAGCTTTGGGGCTTGAGACCTAATTTTCTTTAGAACAAAAAAAACATGCTCCTTACAAAGCCATAATTTCCAGCCCAGAAACACATGTTTGGATGTCCCATCATTCCAGTGACGGAAAGCGACGGCACGAGGTCACAACATTTTTTTTTACCCAGATATGGACCAATGTTGACTTGTTATAGGTTATACCCTTTGGTAAACTAATGTAGCTATGGACCACGGCCCATAGAAATAGATGATTTACCTATTAACAATGGTGATGTTCCATAGTTATGTTAGTTTACTGGCAATTTACTGGAGGGTAAAAGTTGTATTGTGTTAATTAATCTTAATTATCCCATGACATGCTGCTGGATTCATCCATATTTCCCGTTCATCCCCTTGAGAAATGCTACTATAGATTTTGATTCGTCCACAAATTGGGATAGAATTGTTGAAACATCACTTTATCAACTGGATATATGTGTATATAATCATCCTGAAGTAGATGGAATATTTTTTCAAACATATTCCTATTGTAGTTTGGTTGCTTTTGAACTTTTGAACTTTCCATATTCTATCCTCATCAGGATGATTATATGTAGGTTTCTTAAAATGCGGGATCCCCAAAACCATGTTTTTTAAAGCTAAGATGGTCGAATGACTTGGATGATTTGGGGATATCACCATGGCTTAGGAAGCCTCCATATCTATATTATACAGATACATATTGATAATATATATATATGTATGGAAATTTCCTGACATGGGGGTAACCATCCAGCTATTGGGGTCCGATTGTAGGCGACCAAAAAAGGCGAAAATTCCGCACCTCTGACGCGCTTGGCACGGCAAGCTGTCGCACGGCCGGGACGGCTTTGGGCCGTGACCTGGTCGCAGACCACGGCTCCGTGGGGTGGGTCCCCCATGTTCCCCCCAGTTATGGTTGTTAAATGTTGTTAAGCCATCTAAAGCAACTAACTGGTTTAGAACATGGAAGCACCTTTGATTATTAATATCTTAACCAACTTATGACCATCTATTTGACCAAGTAGCATATCTTCCATATACCTTGGTCAAGCTACTTCCAAACCAACTTTGCAAAGTTGGGGGCACCAAGTTGTACTGTGGGGATCTGTTGGGGTGACATAAACCACCGATTTCCCCAGCTGCTATCATCTACCTACAACGTGAGACCCCCAACCAAGAGCTAAGTTGGTTTATGAGTAGTTTCCCTATGTTTTGTGGATATTGTCGTAACTATAGTTACGTATTATTAGCTGGGCTATAAACAAACTTATACCAAGGGTCTACCACCTTGTACAATAAGTCATAGCATGTTGTAGCAACATGTAGCAATCCTTAAATTGGGGATAAAAAAAGGGTTAATTATGAGGCTGAGAATCAAATCCCAACGGTACCCTGGTGGCCATCAAAGTATCTGGCTGCTGGGATGTCGCGTCTTTGTGGCTTAATCCAGGTGTTGGTTTGATCCCGGTCACTATGCGTCTATGAGTTAAATACCTAAATTTTGTGGGTCGGTCAAATCCATGATTTGTGAAGGTGAAATCGTCCATGGTGGTCGAGTTCAAACAATCCTCACGGATGTTCTGAACGTGGATTCTGATGTGTCCCGAAAGAAAAACATGGCCTTTGCGAAGTGTAAAAAATCAAAGGGGATACCATGCCCCAAACAAACAATGCTTCTCATGTACCTATTGGTGGTTCAATGGGGGCAACGTAACTCATCTTCCGTCTGAGGCTCCAGGCAAAGGCACCACCGGTGCACTCGTCTCCTGTAGGAAAGCCATGAAATTTTAAGACTCAATGGCTCTGTTTAAGAGGAACTTGAAACAGGAAACCCTGCCTTTATTGAGCAATTGTGTTTTCCGGTCGGGTTTTTCTTAAACATTTAATTCTAGGATATACCAGACCTCTTTAGCAGATAATGCATGTTTATGTTTCATGTACCTGAAGTTTCACCATGTGAATTTCGGGCGCCTGCAGTTGATCAATTTTACGTACCCTAACTATCATAAAATTGCCAATTCGGAAAATGTAATTTGCTGTACGTTCGAAAAAAACATCTAGTGGAAAGAACGAAAAAACATCTAGTGGAAAGAACTAAAAAAACATGGATTTTATTCATCTGGTAATGGACGGTCCCCCATTTGCATCCACTTATTCGATCAATTTTCCAGTTCCAGCAAACATCAGGGCATGTCCAACAAAATGCTTGATTAGAGTCTAATGATTAGAGGTACCCTCTGGTAGTCAAACATGGCAATGGCAAATCCCCCACTTATAGATGTTCATTCCGATTCCCATTAAAACCCTCATTTATAGAGATTTTCATGGATTTTCATAGATTTTCCAGTGCCACGCTTGATTACCAGAGAGGTACCTGGATTGGAGTCTTTTCCCAAACGGCTCCCCATTGTTGCCATTGTTCATGGAAAATATTAGGATACCCAAACAACTCCGAACCGCTCCCTCCGTTCACCACCGGACAATGTCACTACAATGGTTTGTAAATCCCATTCATACCCCATATATTATCATATATTCCCCCCAGTAATCTACCAATGTGCTACGTCCATCTATGTCAAATCAGTCCTATCTATTTTATGTGGGATCCATCCAATGCCACTAGACATACCCACCATGCCCGACCTCCGCCTTTGGTTTCTCGGCCGTAGCCTAACATTTTCGGGCGCCGGGGGTTTGGGGGCCCCATATGTCTGTGGGGTCAAGACTGCGGAAACATCCAAAACATCCAAAAACAGGTGGAAATTCTGAGCTGACATTGAGCATTTCAGATAGATTATTTACGGCTTTAATCCATAAATTTGCAGAGGGAGTCTTCCTCCATCGGCTGAGATATGCTGAAAATCCGTGAAACCAATCCTGATCATTGAACCTCAACTCCTTGATGAGGATCTTTCAACCCAAAATCTATCAAAACGGGATCTGAAAAACACACCTGATATTCATGATCCCCAGTGAAACGTGTTTGAAACTTTAAAACCACTGAGTTTAGAATATAATATCAGGCTACTATACATGATGCATTAACTAGACGGATTGGAAGTCATCCATCGTTGGCCCAAACATGGGACACTTTCCCCACAGTTTTCTTTTTATTTGGGATTGTAATTTGATGATCATGACAAACATTGACAAGCCACAGGTTTTGTCTTTCTTTACCTATCATGTGGTTGGAAAACTTGAGCAAGTAACTTTTTGGTTCCCTATTCAAAGAATGTTTGGAGACACATAGCCCCTTAGTTCCCTCCTTTCACTGCATAGTTAATCAAACAAACAACAATTTTCCTAGCCTTCCCACCCCAAGTTGCCTCGTGGACTTCCGCTTGCCATTGCCGTGAGGCTTCCTGGTCAGGTAAATGTTTTTTTGAAATTGCACACCTAAAAAGCATGGACACTGCAATGGAAACTGCATATATATTTAACCTCTTAAATTTACTGCTTTTCAGATCTACTGATCATGGAGAACGATGTGGCCCATTAAATCTGGGAAAACTACTTTATTATCTTTATTTCTTGACTAGTCTGCCTCGTGGCTTAAATGTGTACTTTGGATTTAGCACCCCGCCTCGTTACATACCGTGGAAACATAATGGCCTCGCCTCATTAGTTCTACTTGAGCATACATAGCACATTTTGATATCCCAAAACGGATAAAAACTTTCCTGGCTCTGAATTTTTTTTGGGTGGGGTGGAGACAGATGATGGTGGGAATCGTCCAGCTAGCACTTCCCGAGCAGGCAAATGTCTGTCGTCCGTGTCATCTCAGCAACTGTTTAAGAACCTACTGGCTACAGCTTGAGTATTATAAGAGAATGGCAAACCCCGAGGTTGCGCAAGACAGCACGCCAGTTTGAAATTAATACACCACCCTAAGATTCGAGCTCATACTCTTCGAGCCTGAAGGCCAACACGCTGACCACTGAGCGACAAGCCTCTTGCCTCCAAATAATAGTGCCTTCTTATTCTCTCTGGGCTGCCTGGGTTGTGTTTGCTCGCGGGGGCGCGCGACCCGATGTCTCCCGAAGGGTCCAAACAGGCCACCATTCTCCAACCTGCCTGGCATGTTTCGCAACCCGTACGAGGACCGATCCGTGGCTCTTTAGGGCCTTCTTCTCTTCCGCAGGCATGGGAACATGACCTTTTTAGCCATTTCCGTTGAGCCTGGAAAAGAGGCCGAGAAAAAAAAACTTTTCTGGCAGGGAAACGTTTTTCCCAACTGCCAGAAAATAACCTCGCAAATGCTGGAACCGAATGTCTTTGCTCGTTCTCGTTCTCCGTGAGAAGAAAGCTGAAAGAATCAAAACAAAACTTTTCTCGTGCCAGATTTTTTTTACAATTATTTGCATGTGTGCTGACACATCCCCGTGCAACTGGCATTGAGTGGGCTGTCCATATCTGTCCATATTCAATCTCTGGCCACAATGTTCATCACATCCCCGTCACTGGTACCTTAAATCTTTGTTGTTCACCTCGTCGCTTACCTCGTTAATGTTGACTTCTCTACCTCGTTGCCTCCTCTGTCCTCGTAGTTTGTGCAGATTAAATGGTCCTTGTGGTGCATTGTGATGCGTCGCGCAAATCAGTGGGTTTCGGAATCGCTTCAACTTCAAGGGATCCTTTGACCGTGCCATCCCACGAGTATCCCAATAAACCACCATGGAACTCACTATAAAAACCAGCCCCAAAAATTGCTTTGAACTTCGAAATCTTCGAACTGTGCCATCATCCCATGATTTTCCCCATGTTTGTCCCATGATTTTTCCCCTTCTTGTGCCACTGCTGCAGGATTTCCACCTCACCGCGCCTTGTCCGGAGAACTCACCGCCGCCTTGACGTTGGAGGGGGTCCACCTCGATCAATGGGATGCCATGGAGATTTCGGGGGAATTCTTACTTAACCAATATGGGGTATTCCGAATTCCTAGGGCAGCCCCAAAACCAATCAAAAACCATAGGTTTCAATAGGTTTCAAGACTATAGTGACTATAGTCTAATGATGATTTGGGGGTACACCCACTGAAACCACCAAATGAATCCATATGATCACTTTGAACGGCTGTGTGTTTTATGGAAATACGCTGTAAGTAAAGCTGGGGGTATCCCATCACCATGTTTTTCCTTCTGAAGGGTAGCTGGAATGGAACACTTCTGCCCTACGCTTGGCCAACTAGATTTGAATATGGCCTCACATCATTACCCAACAGACCTGGATCGAAAACATATATTGGGGCGTTAATACTAAGCGGATCTTGGGGTGGTCCATGTTCTTGGCATACATATGCATACATCAAATACAGTACCCATGTATACACCAACTGGCACAAACTAAATCAGTGCCGGCATACCTGTGGTATATCTGCGAGCTCTGTACAGAGGGGTGTGGGTCAATTTTCAACACCCACACCCTTTGGTGAATCTCTAGTCCTTGAGAAGCTTTCGGTGGCTGTTCATCATTTGCAGCAGGTCTGCCACTATGATGGGCCTTCAACATCGCTCTTGCCATTGGAATGATGTAACCGCCAGGTACCGCCTGCAGTATAGGTCATGGCGGGGGATAGTCGTGACCGTTGTGACCGTTGTGACTGTTGTAACCCCATCAAAATATCTGGCAACAGACCCAGAACTACACCGCGCAAGCCTTTTATGAACGACTTCGCCGAAATTAATCAAGGTCTTGGGCAGCAGGATCCTAATCCAGCGCGCCTGGAAATGGGATGAAAACGTTTAGAAAAAATGGTTCGACTGGCACATGTCGACCGATACATTGTGGACCAGAGAGGATGTACTATCTGGTTCTATTTGTACGGTATCTATTCGTAACATCAGAACTTAGAACCTGGTTTATATACCTTGCATTTTCCTTTGTGGCTAGTGTATATATACCGCGACCAGTGCATATGATGTATTTTTATGATTACATATAACTCCATTTTGAGCTGCAGCTACATAATTTTATATCATGTTCTATGGTAAAACCATGCGTATTTAAATGTATTTAATGTATATATATATATACATACACATATAATCTACGTATATGATATTCACAAACAACAAAAACTAATGTTAAAACTATCAACGTCTCCTTCCAGTTGGTTTCCCTTTGCGGGTCAACTTCTCTCTGATCCTCAAGGCTCACCAAGCCCTCTTCAACCTGGGTCCAGTGGATCGTCGTTTCCAGGGATTTTCCACATGGATGTCCACAATATGTTTTGCCTGAACAAGAAAAGGTAACATTGAAGGGAAAATCATGGAAAATCCAGTGTTTTTTTTAAACCTCACATTTCTTTTTTAATGAAGCCATGTCGTCGATGGTTCATATCTTCTGCCCAGCTAAGGTGATATCAACTGTAAATCATCCTCCACGATGTATTTGGAACCACCAAATAATCAAACAATTCCAAGATGTGGCATGAATATACGTATAGTCCGTATAGTACTGTGTTTACATATCTTTACCTCACTGTTTCCACACAAAATACTTCATTTGCTTCTGTCTCTGTGAAGCTTTTGCTGGGGATGAATCAAAATCTGGTACCCCCTAAAATTGGATGGACAATATTCAGAAATGGCTATATAGCCCCTCTGCACTCCGGTCCTTAAATGTTATCAAAAACACAATCCCAACAACCATCCCAAAGCAGTAATCCACCCCGGATGAATAACCCCCTGGCCTGTTGAATTGGGGGAGTACCAGTGTATTAGCATATGAACTTGCTATTTTTGTGGGTACCTCCAAATTTTAATCAACCCGGGTTCCGGGTTTACAAGATTCCGCAACCGGAGCATCCCCGGTCCTGCCCAGCATTTGTTGATCAAGGAACTGCTGCTGGAACCTGGGTCGAAGCTCCGCTGCAAAGTCCCGGCTGGAAATATCTGACATGTCTACAGTGACCCTCAAACAATATGATTAATATGTAGGGATATTTTGGGAGGAACTGATCATGATATATATATATATATGTAGATACAGTGTATATATATATACATATGTATATATATATATATGTATGTATATATATATATGTGTATGTGTATATGTGTATATGTGTGTATGTGTATATGTGTATATGTGTATATGTCTGTATGTCTGTATGTATGTATGTCTGTATGTATGTATGTATATGTATGTATGTATACGTATGTATGTATACGTATGTATGTATACGTATGTATGTATACGTATGTATGTATACGTATGTATGTATACGTATGTATGTATACGTATATATGTATCATATTGAGAATGGGTAATTAAAGATGTTGAACGAAACCGACATTTGGAGGGTCTAGGTACAGGTCAAACAGGCTAATAAAATCAGGGTTGCATGGTCGTGCATGGGAGTATTTGAGTGCCATCTTTGACATTTATGCCGAAAATCCATGATGGCATAAAGTTTTTCACAGTGGCAGGTTTACCCTGCCTAATTTCGGGAAATCACATGCAGATGTGCATAACCATATATGTATAGCATCTCTACCCCATCAACCCGCATTTCTGGCGAAACAAACCCCCCAGTCAATCCAATTCAAATCTCCATCCACAGTTCCCAGTTCCCAGTCAACTCAACTGATCATTTTGGATTCACTTCCCAAGTAGAATCCAACCAATGCATGTTCTACTCCCCAATCCAATCATATACTAAACACATACAACCGCAGGTAAACTGAATTTGTATACATATATATATACAATTATATACATACATGTAGCTATTCACAGTAATATATGTACACATATGCAAATATATAAATACACAAACGCAATCAGACACGTACATAGACGTGTACAGTGAAGTAATACCTTCAGACCGCCTCGGCACGTCGCCCGAGGAACTGCTGTTCGGTGATCCAGGCGGCATGGAAACCCAGCGGCACGCGACGGTGCACGAGGAACTCCTGAGGTGGATCATTGGGTGGAAAGCAAAGGTGAAATGAACTGCAGATGGTTTTCATCACAGAAACTCGATATTTTCGATTCAAAATGAGGATTGACCAAAAGATCAAGGGATTGGACTATTGGACTTGGACTCGGTAGTTTGGACTTCGAGGATTGCTGGGAAAAAGGGGATCTCTCACCATTTTTCGCCTACCCTCCAATAATTTAACATTGTAACATAGCTGTTGAAAATGGGCAGCTTGGCAGCTTCAGTTTTTTTTTGATTTGGCGGTGTATCTCCGAACAAAAAAAACATGGTTTTTACATGGCAACCATTGGCTCGTTCATATCCTTGTCAAATGGCGGATGTATCCCGACATATCCCAATCAAAAAATATTACCAACAAAGGGCTTAGTGTTCAAAACATCGGAAATACTCCATGAAACCATATCTCCATTGTATCATCATAGTGCCATAGTGTAAGTTTCCTTTGTGTTTGCATTGTTTAATGGACATGATCCCCATCTGAACATCACAGCCACTAGAACCACGACTGCATATATGTGCATCTATATAAATATATAGAGATATATAAATATATAAATAAATAAATGAATAAATAAATAAATAAAATAAATAAATAAATAAATACATAAATAAATAAATACATAAATATATAAATATGCCCCCATGATACTGGCTGGTTTGCGCCGGGGGGGCACCAAACCTATCAATGCCGGCCAAGACTCCACTACGGGCGTGGCATCAAAGCTCTTGGCCTAGACCCATTTCGGAAGGAGATTCGAAAAACGAAGATCTGGGTAGGTTGGGTGATGTGAACTCCACGAATACAATGAACTATAAGAACTATAAGAACTGAGATACCAGTTTAATCCAGTTTAACATATTGCCAAAATCATGAGAAAACTGTGGATTGACATTGTTGAAACGAAATGGTCAGTGACTCGGGTACGGTTTTTAATAGCGTTTATAGCTCAGATTCCGGTGATATACCAACCCAGCCCAAATATCTGATTTCATCCCCCTGCAGATTAGGTCATTACCCCATATTACCCCGTACTCCCAGATTCTATAGGTGTAAATTGGGGAGTACACCCCCCAACCTCTGTAGAATCCACAAACCTAATCAAAATGACCCTCTATAGAATCTAAGAGTATGGGGTACTGACTTAATGCCCCATTTTTGTGGAGTTCCCCTCTATAGAATCAGAACCATATTTTGACATGTCTCAAGGGGTTACTTGCACATATGCCAAATTTGGTTTATGGATTCTATAGAGGGGGCGGCGGGCGTACGCCAGCTGAATGGGGTTAGAACCAAGTGGGGAAAACAACAAGGAAAGGAAACAGCAAAACAACAATAATAAGCAAAACAAACCACACACAGAGACATTTGGGTTTGTCTGAAAATAGGGTATATTCCCAAACAAATAGCCATTTAATAGGGATAATGATCAGCAAAACCATTGGGTTTAGGGGTTTTCTCTATTTTCAGACACAGAGACATTTTCGTTCATGGCTTACCCAGGCGAACAGCGGACCAAGGCGCATCATAGGCCGCAAAAGTGGACTCCTGAGTCTTCTCGTTCCACAGCAGCAGGCCGATGTAGCCGTCGTCGTCCTCTACGACGTTGCGCTTGTGGCGTGGCTGGAAGGAGTCGCTTGGGATATGGAGGTAGTTACTTTACCACAGTTGGGATTTCATAGTTAGGAGAGTTGACTATGAAATAGTAGTTACATGTAGTTACTGTGAAATCCCAACTATGGTAAAAAATGAATTACTTTACTTCGTGTGATCCCCACCATGACATTTATACATTTTCTTACTGGCAAATCTTCTGGCATTCTATCTGACATATCTTCTGACATTCTATTTGACATTCTATCTGGCATATCTTCTGGCATATGATCTGGCATATCTTCTGGCATATCTTCTGGCATTCTATCTGGCAAATCTTCTGGCATTCTATCTGGCATATCTTCTGGCACTATCTGACATATCTTCTGGCATTCTATCTGGCATATCTTCTGGCATATATTCTGACATATCTTCTGGCATTCTATCTGGCATTCTATCTGGCATATCTTCTGGCATATATTCTGACATATCTTCTGGCATTCTATCTGGCATATCTGGCATATCTTATCTGGATATCTATATCTATCTGGCATATCTTCTGGCATATTTTCTGGCATTCTATCTGGCAAATCTTCTGGCATTCTATCTGGCATTCTATCTGGCATATCTTCTGGCATATTATCTGGCATTCTATCTGGCATATCTTCTGGCATATATTCTGACATATCTTCTGGCATTCTATCTGGCATTCTATTTGGCATTCTATCTGGCATATCTTCTGGCATATCTTCTGACATTCTTTCTGACATTCTTTCTAACTTTCTTCTGCACATTCTTTGTCCCATATCTTCCTACATGAGGTCCGGCAGGGAACACTTGGCGTGGATACTCGCGGTTGAGGTCCGGCAGGGAACACTGGGCGTGGATGGTCGTGGTTGAGGTCCGGCAGGGAACACTGGGCGAGGATGGTCGTGGTTGAGGTCCGGCAGGGAACATTGGGCGTGGATGGTCGTGGTTGAGGTCCGGCAGGGAACACTGTGGATCGCGGGTCGCAGTTGAGCAAGGACGACGAGGACGAGAAGGACGACAAGGATGACAAGGAGGACGAGGAGGAGGAGGACGAGGCAGGAGGAGGCGGAGGAGGAGGAGGAGGAGCAGGAGGAGGAGGCAACTGACATAAAATCTAACAACCCTCACCTGGCAGGTGGGGAACTATAGTAGTTACTATGGTTACCACTTGGGATATCAGTCGTGGCTCCTCCTGGCAATTGGACTTTGGAATAAAGACAGGCTCGCCCCCGACGACGCCCTCGGGGTAGTGGATCACCTTCCCAGGACAAACAACGAAGGGAAATTCGGGCAGCAAAAGGGATCTGATCCCACTATATTCCAATTATATCCCCATTTTACTCCAATTCTATGCCCATTTTCATGCCAACTATATATATATATATATCATATCATATATATATATATATTATATATGCATATATATACATAATATATATATATAATATCATTTAGATTACCAACCCGTGAATGACGATGTTGGTGATGCATGCCCGCGTGCAACGTGCACGAACGTGCAGACTCAAAAGGCCGCTTTCGGCCGAGCAACTGAACAGTCGGTTGGGATTTGTGGATGTTTTACCCTCTGGTAAACATACAAAAAACCATGGAACATCACAATTTTTAATGGGAAAATCAACTATAAATTGGGTCATGTTCAATAGCTATTTTAGTTTAACAGAGGGTATCATTTGTAATACTGCATTATATATCCTGGGGAATCAGTAGCTCACACAAGCTGGCCGGCAACTTTTCCAGGTGACTTGTGCAATGTGAGAGAGAGAGAGAGCAATTATGTCCCCTTAACCCACTCAAAGAATTGTTATAATGTCAATTGGTTATTTAAACCACTACACAATCATTATGAACCAAAAGAATAGCCTTGTTGGTTGATTATCCATTATTAACCCACTATAATCAACTATAATAATAAACTAAAATAGCCGCAATAGCCTTGTTGGTTGATGACCAGTGACTACTGTATCTTCACTCTTATTCACCAATTGAACCAACAAGGCCATTGTTTCCATGCCATGCCTTGTCCAACTTGCAACTCTGGAAGTCCCACTTCAGCAGGCCTCGGAAGTCGAAATCACCTGGGCGACAAGTGAAAAACAGTGGACCACCATAGTCTGTTCCACCTTTTGGTGAAGTGTTCATTATTTTTTTGGATAGTTCAGTTCAGTTTATACTTCATATATTTTCAGATTGCTTTAACCTTCAGTTGCTATTTGGATAGTGTAGAGTTTTATTATTGACCTTCAGTACCGACCCTTGGTTGATATCGAACTACCAAGGCCGCACCTTCAGTGGTCTGCAATCCAGAGAAGCCATAGCGCACCTGGGTGGAAGCACCAGTCACTGCAATGATTTTGCTGAGTTCACAAGCACGTGGGAAAAGGATATCAAGAAACACATCTATGAAATTGATATCCAATTCAGAAATGACTTTGGAGTTTCACGTTTTTCAACATATAGCGCATGTACGCACGCCCAACCTCAAATCAACGTTTGAGCGATGAATGTTTCATCGAAAGTGAGGATGTAACCAGTATTAACCAACGGCAATGCAGATATTCAACAAGAGACGATGGAGATGTAATCACCAACACTGGGACAACAAAATATTTTTGAGAACTCACAGAATATATACTAGATATATGTACTTAAATATAACACAATAATATCATACTATAAATTATTATGTATATACTGTATATATATATATATATATATCGAACAACATAACAAAACGTGCTTGATATATCGGCACGTCCTTCTGTCTATATATATATACACTGTATATGTAATTACATACATCAGTGAACTCTCAAATCTCCCAAAGACAAAGGACGCTAAATGGCATCGGGCAGTCCTACCGGCGTCCAGAAACTTGATGAAAGACATGGTTCAATAGTTGGGTTTCTGGTTCAATTGCTGGTTCAATAGTTTGGGCCATTTGGGAATGTTTTTCCCTTACTAACCATCATTCCAGTGAGGTCGCCCAGAATAGTGTTTCCGCACTTCTTTCGATGTCCTTTCTTTTTTGTGTCTTCCCAATTCAGCTTTTGGAGCACAGAGTTTGCATCCAGTAATCAATGTCCAAAACAGCCACTATTTTGAGGGGGAGCCTGGACACTGCTCTAAGGAACAAAATCATGAACTCTCAAATCATATACCTATAAAACCGTATAAAGATGGATTTATTCTCTGTTATTCTCTGCAATATGTTGAATTAGGTTGTTCTCTTAATATACCTCAGTCCCATTTTTCTGGGTAGCCCAGGTAGCCCATCGGCCGTTCCAGCAGTCCGACAGGTCCCAGTGTCGCCGTTGCAACCCACACGATCGTCGCGGATCCGGGGGAATTCGGTGCAGAATTTCTGGCCACCCTCCACCTCTTGGATCTTCACCTTGTTGTACCCATGATTTAAGCTGTGCTGTACTGTGGCAAACCATTTTCGCCGACCTTCAAGGTATCCATATGGATATCTGTATACATAATGTATAATCATATGATATATTTAGCATCCTATCGCTGAAGCCTAAACACATAAATATCAAATAATGTTGTGGAGAGTTTTCAGGCAGTTGAGGGACACAAAGAGAACATGGGAAGTCCTGCAGTCGCACCTGACCGCGACACTTCTGCAGCCAAGATACACTTTTGCCTTGCACATCAATCACCACCTGGCGGATGAGAAAACTACCCAGGTTACACCATTGAAATGAGTTTGGGACACCATATGCCATCACATTTCGACGATATAAAAATTCCATCGAACAATTGCGGACATTCAAAAACAGCAATCCTACCAAGGATTCGTGACATTCAAAAACAACAATCCAACGAAGGATTCGTGCGCGACCTGCGCGTGAACCACTGGACATTGCCACCGCCATCGAACTGTCGGTTGGTTCGACCAACGTTTCTGCATTCTCAGTGCCCATAATTTGTGTGTGATATAATATATAAAGGGTATAAATTCATGTTATATAATTACTGTTATAATTTGTGTGATATAATTCATGTTTCTTTTGGCATGGCACAAAAAAACATGCCATGGCTAGTCTTGGGTACCCCATAAAAAACTTTTGATACACATCATCTGCGAGAAAAAAACACAAGTTATCCACTCAACCAAGATTTATCCAGATTTGGGAAACGGGAAACCTAAATCTCGACTCTGATAGTGCAACTGGCAAATGTTTCCCCATCCCTTCGCCTTAGTTTTGGAGAGTTGAAAACCTCGGATTCCCCACGAGTTTCCCATGTTTCCCTTGGCCAAATGTCCCAGGCACTCGGCGCATATGACCAGTGCCCAAACCGCCCAAGATGGTGCCCTTGGAGTCAGCCTTAGGAAGTACGACTGGGGTATGATTTGGGTGCGGATTTTTTTTGGTATTTTTTTTTTTCCTGTTTTGTTTTTTTTAATGGTCGTGGGCACGGTTTCCTCACTTTTTCCTCACTTTTTCCTTGTTTTCCATTACTTTTCCTTGGTTTTTCATTGGTTTTCCTTCATTTTTCCTCACTTTTTCCTCGTTTTCCAGTATTTTTCTTTGGGTTTTCATAATTTTCCTCACTTTTTCATCGCTTTCCATTACTTTTCCTTGGTTTTTCATCATTTTCCTCACTTTTTCCTTGTTTTCCATTATTTTTCCTTAGTTTTTTCACTTTTTTCCGTTTTCCATTACTTTTCCTTCACTTCCTTCACTTTTTCCTCGTTTTCCATTACTTTTCCTTGGTTTTTCATCATTTTCCTCACATTTTCCTTCCTTCCTCAATAAGAAAACAGGAAGGGGGTAGTGGGGAGAGGGCTGAGGAGGAGCAGTAGCGTCCACTCAGAATCAGCTAAAGCGTCTTCCCAGGCAACCTTCTCTCTCGGGCGCAAACATTTTCCTTGGATGTTGCCATTGTGCTGGTGTTAGAGGTCTATGTTTGAGGTTTTTGGTTTAGGGTTGGTGCGCAGACTTGGAGTTAACCTGTTCATGGCTTGCAGGATTCGTATCTCAGTTGGCAATGCTTAGCTGCAGTTCGGCAAGACATCCCCAGCAGCGCTATTCAAGGGCTCGCTTGCATTTCATTTTTTCCTCGCACCAGGTGTGATCTTTGTCACAGCTTCTTGCAGGCTGCATTTGCCTTCGCTTGGGTGCCTGCCAACTGATCAACAATGTTAGCAGTATGGGCATTTGCGCGCAAATCAGTGGCTGCATCAAGGCCTCCAGCTGTCCGGGAAAGATACCTCATGACCAGTTACCCAGGCAGTGCGAAAAGTACTAGGGCACAGAACTGGACAGATCAGCAATACATATGAGGCCGAGGCTTCGGGTTGTTGAGCAAGCCGAAATCAGCAAGTCGTAGGGCACTACGCTGCGCCTTTGCCTGAAGCAATGTTTGATGGTAGGCACTCTCTGTCTTGTATAAGTTTCGGGGGCGGTGTGGCAACTGGGTTGCAAACAGCTTCTTCGGGCGACTTACCTTTTTGAGCCTGAGCAAGGGGCGATGATGTCTGGGTTCGGGGTAGCCAGCGACAAACATCAGACCAGGATTGATGGAGCCAGGCTCCGACACCCGAACTTGAACGCCAAGCGGAAAATGAGAGCCGGACAGCAGCAGCATCTGTTGAAGGTACCTGAGGAAGGACGAAGAGAACGCTGCGAAATTTGTGCCCATGCGTCATTGAGGGACGCATGAAATGGTTGATGGCGGAGTGAATGTATAGGAGTGTTGAAGAATGAAGCCGACCAAGAGCAATGAGATTTCCGCCCGAAAAAAAAGCGAGGCCCAAGCGGCAGAAGCATGTGTTGATGTTTCTGGAGGTACCTGCGTGGGGAACATAATCAGGTCATCAGAAATGAGGCATGAAACCATTGATGAGGTAGGAATGTCGAAGGGTAAACCAATCAAAGCATGAGAGCCCAACGGCAGCCAAATTTGCGTCACGCACCTAAGCCAGGACAGGGGGCAATGGCAAATTTGATTCGTACCATCAAGAATCAAACATGAGACTGAAGATGAACAAAACCATGTAAAAGGATTGAAACATAATAATTAATAATAATTTCTTATTGAGTGTATGGGAGTGTTGAAGAATGAAGCCGACCAAGAGCAATGAGATTTCCGCCCGAAAAAAAAACCGCGGCCCAAGCGGCAGAAGCATGTGTTGATGCTTTTGGAGGTACCTGAGTGGAGAACATAATCAGGTCATCAGAAATGAGGTATGAAACCATTGATGAGGTAGGAGTGTGGCAACTGGGTTGCAAACAGCTTCTCCGGGCGACTTACCTTTTTTGAGCCTGAGCAAGGGGTGATGATGTCTGGGTTCGGGGTAGCCAGCGACAAACATCAGACCAGGATTGATGGAGCCAGGCTCCGACACCCGAACTTGAACGCTAAGCGGAAAATGAGAGCCGGACAGCAGCAGCATCTGTTGAAGGTACCTGAGGAAGGACGAAGAGAACGCTGCGAAATTTGTGCCCATGCGTCATTGAGGGACGCATGAAATGGTTGATGGCAGAGTGAGTGTATAGGGGTGTTGAAGAATGAAGCCGACCAAGAGCAATGAGATTTCCGCCCGAAAAAAAGCGAGGCCCAAGCGGCAGAAGCATGTGTTGATGTTTCTGGAGGTACCTGCGTGGGGAACATAATCAGGTCATCAGAAATGAGGCATGAAACCATTGATGAGGTAGGAATGTCGAAGGGTAAACCCAATCAAAGCATGAGAGCCCAACGGCAGCCAAATTTGCGTCACGCACCTAAGCCAGGACAGGGGGCAATGGGCAAATTTGATTTGTACCATCAAGAATCAAACATGAGACTGAAGATGAGCAAAACCATGTAAAAGGATTGAAACATAATAATTAATAATAATTTCTTATTGAATGTATAGGAGTGTTGAAGAATGAAGCCGACCAAGAGCAATGAGATTTCCGCCCGAAAAAAACGCGGCCCAAGCGGCAGAAGCATGTGTTGATGTTTTTGGGGGTACCTGAGTGGAGAACATAATCAGGTCATCAGAAATGAGGTCCACGAATCTCTATCTTAATAAGGATCTCGCAACTGCAGCAGCGCTCGAAGGCAGAGACGCCTTAGTTGGTCACTGAAGCGGCAACGAACTCAACAAGCGGCACTGGAATGACATCATGCGACGTTATTGCTCTTAATTCAAAACCTCCGAAGGTCTAGCATAAGGCCGCCACGGACGCAGCTACATGAGAAGGCCCCTTTACACCCTCTGAAGTCCCAGGCAGCACCTTAAACACAGAAGCATCGTGCAAAGGGACGGTACGCGCAACAGAAACATGATCAAACATGGAAAAGGTATGAGAAGGTGGAGAAAAATGCATGCAGCAAGGGAAGAACTTGACGCCCCCGCTGCAGCGCGATGCTCCAAGGCTTGCATCAAAGTGTGCGACTCTCCGATGGACATCCGAAAGAAGCCGACAAAATCAGAAATTTGAAAACGCTGCAGGGCAGGAATTGAGACACCTTGATCGCACATTGGCTGGTAAAGATGGCCAAGGGAGGTTGAACGAAGCAAGGACCGCAGCTCCAAGTGTTCAGGAGACATGGAAGCAGCGCTGGAAGTAGTCTCTGGCTCCACGGATGCACGAGCTGGATTGTGAATTGCAGGGATGATCTGGGGAAGTATTGTTGGAGAGGCAGCGGCTTTTGCTTTACGCGATGGTCTGCCTTTGGGCCTGGCTTTTGGCAACGGGGTATACGGGAGGATTGGCCTTCGTGTTCCATGCAGCAATATGCATGCTCACACGGTCCCCACAAGGAAGCAATGTGGCCCCCCCAGCATAGCCACAGACGGTGCTGGTTTGCAGTTGAAGGGCCGCTGTCCGCTTGATATTCTTGCCACAAGGAGTCAACAAGAGGCCCAGACACGACGCAACGCCAGTCATCCAATGCCTTTGCTGTTTTTGTCCAACATTTGAAAGTTTTGGTCTGGCAGTTGTACAAGTCGAGGGAGGCCAAAGCTTGGCGCACATCGTGAGTGGAAGTTGCCGTGATCAACGCAGCATAATGCTGCACTGCTCTAGGCTGCAAAGGCAACAGCGCACGGTCTTTGTACACCTTTTTCTTTGCGGTGGACTCCCGCCAATCTGTTTTCAGCTTCGACGTGGGGACCAGCATCCAAAGATTGCCGCTTGGGTCTTCCCACCGCTGATGTTTACCCCAGGCCAAGAGGGATTTTCCAGAAGTGCGACCTTCTTTTTTCAATTGGACATCGTTTTCGAGAATGTGTTGATCAAGGAATTGGCCAATGGCAGGCCAATCTTGGAAGGGTGCGCGATCCTGTTGCATAGCTTCCAAAACCCGAAGTTGGGGCTGGACGATCTGTTCCTGCAAGATCCGAGCAACTTCTGCCGGTTTCCTCCGGACGCCTTCAAACGCTGGCTTCAGAACGGTGCCGTGCCAGGATTCTTGCGGAGCGGAACCTGCATCTGTCCCTGGCATGATGCGGTCAGGCGCGGACCGCCATGGGGCATCCCAAAGTTCGGCATCTGCATTCCAAGTGAAATATTGCCGCTGTAACTTTCTGATTGTATTTGACCCACACACTGCTTCTAATTCAAGAAACAACGATTCCCAAACAACATGGAACAAGAAGGCAGGCCACTGTTTGGAAATGCGACAGTACTGCAAAATCCACGGCAGCACTGTGTCCTTGGCCTCCGCGGGCATTTCTTTAAGGAGAAGGCCTGAAAGTCCAGAAGGGCCTTGCGAAGTCACTCCAGTGACATGCGCCCAATCCGAAAGTCGCATGGAATTGGGTGCGACATGGCGACGGGCAGCTTCAATGCCCAAGTGCATGTCGCCATGCCATTGCAAGATATGCTTTGCCTCAAGGTCATGGCCCAGTGTGTTGGCAGTTTTGAGCAACGTGTCGCTCATGTGTGTGTAAGCATCTTCGTTCTCTTTGTTTGTGATAGCGAAACAGAGAGGAACGAACGAGGAACGAAAAGAATAAATGCTTATATATATATATATCTTAAAAAAACAAATTAAATTACCCTCCGTATGATTTTGAGGATTAAAAAGTACCTTCTCGGAAAGTCTTCGGAACCATATACATATATAATACATGTTAGGTATGTAGTAATTTAGTAACAGGCATATTTTTCAATATTATATACATAGTCACATAGTTTATATCATCCATATATATCCATATATTTGATAGACCCAACAACAATACACAAAGATAGTAACCAATATATATATATACATATTAATATGTATACAATATATGTGTGTGTGTAAATTATAGAGAGATTCAAGGGTCCGCCTTTTTTCGCCCTGCAAAACAGATTCTTTTAAGGCACAAAACTATCTGCCCCTTACTTTCAGCCTCAACAACGAATTGATTACCCATATGCAATCATGATCATGATAATATGAATAATTATATTCATAACATGATATATTAGTCACTTAAAACTAATTTTATATAATCATGATTTGTATATTATTATTATTATATATAATAATAATAGTAATAATAATAATTATTATTAATTATTATTATGTATCGCAGTTGGGATACCCATTAGACTTCAGAAGCCAACTGAGCCCATGGCCAATGGGGATTGGATACGGATTCTCATGGTATAAAAAAGGGGGGTTCCATAAATGGGGGTAGCCCCAAATGGATGGTTTTTAAGGGAAAATCATATTAATATGGGTGATTTTGGGGTACCCCTATTTTAGGAAACCACCATATGGAACATGAACAGTATGTTCTCAAAGATAAAATGCCGGTATGCGCCATATTAGAACCTGACATGGGCCAGGGCCCGAGCCCATGCCATCCAAGGATCATCGTAGTAACTCACTGGCGTCCACAAGATGATCTGGCCTGTTTCGGTGCTGGCGGTGACAAATCAACCATGTTGGCCTATGTAATTCTTGAACAGTTGCCACACCAAAAAAACTTACCCATTGGTGGCATCAATTCATTTGTTTTCAGATCATTGTTGGATGAACTTCTTTGTTGGTGCTTCTGGCCTTTTGTGTCAGAGGACCTTTTCATTATGAACCAATGTGGCGAACCCAATACAACCCATGTATAGTGAATTTGGGATGGTTCATTATTGGAATTACCATATTAGAATAATCATATTATACTATACTATACCATAATTATACTATTGGGATGCCACCATCATAATTATTCCTCTCCGCACTCAAATGATGCCACCAGGACATCTAAGGTCTAAGAATGTCTCCCAAACCGGCAGAATCATTCTACAGGAAGTTGGCCTACATGGAACTGGTTGGCAATCCGGTTGTAACTCCTTACGCGCTTTAAACTATGAATAACTATGAATAATCTAGCTTTACCATGCTTTAATATGCTTTAACTCACTTATCTCCAGTTGCTATATATCTGGATATCATAATTTGACTTCAGGGATACACCCAGCGTCAGGAAACCCGATCCTGGCCGCCAAGGTGCCGTCATGATCGTAGGCATAGCACGTGTGTACGATCCTCAAATTCCCATTGACTTGAGCGACTGAAACTTTGGCTGACTGGAGTGGTCCACTCCAGCAACAAAGAATAATTTTGTAAGACATAGACTAGAATGACATAGAATGACTAGAAGTTGCTACAGGCAAACGAGAAAGTCACGCCTAAGTCATGCCGACAGTGCAAACGACGTAAGAAACGACGTTGGAACCAGACCCTATAGCCACTTGGCCTTGAATGGGCTGCACCTGTCCCTGCTTGACCCGCAGGGCTTTCCAGCCGTGAAGAAAAATATCACCAAGACAGGAAAAACTAGACAATCCAATGTCAGAACTATTGCCAATTGCAAAGCATGATTGACCAAATCAGGCCACAAGGCAAGCATCCAGAGTTCCCAATGGCACCGCTGAATCAAAACAACCACATATATATCCACTAAGCAGGCTTTGATAGCAAAACACATAGGCACCGCAACAAAATTCAAGAAAAGTGCACCGAACACATCAGGGGTCGCCCGTGATTAGGGGGTAGGCACGACTTCTTACATTAACTTCTCTGCAGCTAATTCTGGTATTCTGCAGCCCGTGGGCACGACATTGTCTGTTCCCTGTGTGGGCAATCAAGAAGATCACGATACGGATCTTCCAGCACCCATCGTTTTCAAATTAACCATGAAATATGCAAGCTTGGTTGATAATGGTATATCCTGGTTGGCCACTTCGGGGGATTCTGCTTGGATCTTTCAAGGCGCACTAATTCGTGGTTGGGTTTCTCCATATCTTTTCAACCAATCTTTTGCACACATGATGACCACGAGCAGAAAATGTCGAAAAAACACATCTTGATTTAATCATAGTTTTACAGTGCTCTGATTTCCGATTTGGGCAAAACTAGGGCGGACAACAGGCGCAACTTCTTGCAATCGAGCGCAACTTTGCGAAAACGAGGTAAATTGAAAAAGTGGTTGTTCAGAACCCTCTATGCTGTATAACACGTAAATCGCTCCGAACACAAATTACTGAAACGAGCAACACAAACTATCTCGAGCAGTGTGCGCCTCAAGGTCCAGGTGGTTACACCATGATACACCCCTGAAATTAAAAATACCAAATTTGGATAATTTTGGCCATATCCACTGCACCTCATGTTAAGATTTCAAAGATTTCAGACGGTAACAAGGTCTTCCAAGGTGTTTCAAGGTATTTCAAGGTGATATCACGGTATTAAAGTGACCAAAAAACGCTAGTGGATGTGCCATTTCCAGTGATGCTTATCATGGCGGATCTGAAATACCCAGAAAAAAAGCTCATTAGTATCCCCATTCACAGCAATAATTCAACCATAGTAACCTCCAAAAAGATGCCGGCAACCACGTTTCCAGCTTGATGCTTCGAAAAAAAAACCAATATTTCTAGGAGTTCGGACTTTTGCACCACTATTCTTGAGGTGTTGATACAAAGTACTAGAAGATACTATAAGTTACTAGAATTACTAGAAGATACTATTAGTTAGTAGAATTACGAGAAGATACTATAAGTTACTAGAATTACTAGAAGATACAAAAAGTTACTAGAATTACGAGAAGATACTATAAGTTACTAGAATTACTAGAAGATACTATAAGTTACTAGAATTACTAGAATATACTATAAGTTACTAGAATTAGGAGACACTATATAGCGACGGACAATCAGTTAGAATGTATTTTGGAAAAATCGGAATATTTCACGCTTTTTGGACGTTCTAAGTGATTATTCGTCTACGTTCTAAGCACCCCACTTAGAACGTTCAAATATCAAGATTCATCACTTAGAACGTACCGGGGAATTTAACACTTAGAACGTGTCTAGGTCAATGATGATAGTGGAAAGGCTTGTGAAATCATGTTGCCGCACTCAGCGAAGCCACTCTCTGAGAGCGCTTTCTGAAGGTTTGAGGGCTATGTTTATTGTGCATGGAAGGGAACCATCACAGTTGATTTGAAACGGTGGGTACCTCATCGATTTCTCGAAGGATTTGGATAGTAGTAGTATTTATATGAGATATATATATATATTCAATGTATCATAATTCTGTATATACATATCATGTTAATTATTCAGCATTATAGCGGCGGACAATCACTTAGAACGTAATTTTTTTGGGGGGTTCTGACGTTCTAAGTGTTGGATTCAGCAGCTAATGCCGTAGGAAACATACACATAATTTCGATTCCACTTCGGATTCCAATTTTCTGCAATATTTTAATTGCGTTATAAAAGGAAATTCAATGAACTTTAATTGATTTTGAATAGAAAAAACTAATCTTTTTATTAAGGGTTTAAATTTACTATTAGGATCCGCTTCGAAATCCAATTTTTGGCAATATTTTAATTGCGTTATATAAGGAAATTTAATTGATTTTGAAATCGAAAAAAATAGTCTTTCTTATTAAGGGTCTAAATTTATTATTAGGGTCCGCTTCGAAATCCAATTTTTGGCAATATTTTTAATTGCGTTATATAAGGAAATTTACTTGATTTTGAAATCGAAAAAATAGTTTATATAGCGACGGACAATCACTTAGCACGTTCTAAGTGTTGGTTTTACGTTCTAAGTGTTGATTTGGCCTCCCTACGTTCTAAGTGATGGTTTTACGTTCTAAGTGATGAAATTTTGCCTACGTTCTAAGTATTGATTTCGTGCCACGTTCTAAGTGCATTTTTTTTTGAAAAATACGTTCTAAGTGGGTGTCCGTCGCTATAAGTTTTCTAGAATTACGTCAAGATACTAGAAGTTACTAGAATTACAAGATACTAAAAGTTACGAGAATTACCAGAAGATACTATAAGTTACTAGAATTACTAGAAGATACTATTAGTTAGTAGAACTACGAGAAGATACTATAAGTTACTAGAATTACTAGAAGATACTATAAGTTACTAGAATTACTAGAATATACTATAAGTTACTAGAATTAGGAGACACTATAAGTTACTAGAATTACTAGAAGATACTATAAGGTACTAGAATTAGGAGACACTATAAGTTCCTAGAATTACGAGAAGATACCACAAGTTGCTAGAATTACAAGATACTACAAGTTGCGAGAATTACTAGAAGATACTATAAATTACTAGAATTACTAGAAGATACTGTAAGTTACTAGAATTACTAGAATATACTATAAGTTACTAGAATTAGGAGACACTATAAGTTACTAGAATTACGAGAAGATACCATAAGCTACTAGAATTCCAAGATACTATAAGCTACGAGAATTACTAGAAGATACTATAAGTTAATAGAATTACTAGAATATACTATAAGTTACTAGAATTAGGAGACACTATACTTACTAGAAGATACTATAAGTTACTAGAAACACTAGAAAATACTATAAGTTACTAGAATTACTTGAAGATACAAAAAGTTACTAGAATTACGAGAAGATACTATAAGTTACTAGAATTACTAGAAGATACAAAAAGTTACTAGAATTACGAGAAGATACTATAAGTTACTAGAATTACTTGAAGATACTATAAGTTACTAGAATTACTAGAATATACTATAAGTTACTAGAATTACTAGAAGATACAAAAAGTTACTAGAATTACGAGAATATACTATAAGTTACTAGAATTACTAGAATATACTATAAGTTACTAGAATTACTAGAAGATACTATAAGTTACTAGAATTACTACAAGATACTATAGGTTACAAGAATTACTAGAAGAGACTATAAGTTACTAGAATTCCGAGAAGATACTATATGTTACTAGAATTCCCAGAAGAAGGGTGTATAAAATACTCAAAGTTACTAGAAGATACTACAAAATACTATGAAGTACTATAAGATTTAGTTCCTGGAAGTGCTAGTGACTAGCCATCCAAGGTTTGCCGAGCAGCTCCGCTGCGACATCGGCCTCAATCCACTGAAGGTTTGCCTTGAGGCGAGGCGATGACATCAATGAGGTTGAGATATCCAATGAAACAAAAAAAACATGATTGGCAAATATGGACCACGCAGGAAATTTAGATGATTTATGATGATTGTCATGGATTTTCCAATATTAAACCTCCATCTGAAGTTCGGGGATTTTCCAGCTATAGCAATGAATAGGTAGGTAGATTGTGAAATCATGAGTCGTTGTGAGGTTGAAATATGTAATTCATGCAATGTGTTATCAAACCTTATGAACACATGAGGTTGAATTTGCGAGTCCCCAGCTTGAGATAGTCACCTTTACCTCCTGATCATCATTTCTGGTGACATTGATGGCGATGAATGGGAACTGCCGTGAATTGATTTAAGGGAACATTTATGGTTTTAACCGCTATACTTGAACATAAACACATGGTTTCCTGAACATGTTTTACTTCAAGAAATGAATTGAGAGTTTGGCCCACACAAATGGGAATGTAGAATCACATCAAGGATTTAGCCAGTTAGACTGATTGCCAGTTTCAACTAAATAGCTATATAACGCTTCCATTCATCCAAATATAGACCCTTAATACATGCACAAACATTTGTGTTAATATCGTGTAAATGGAAGCATACAATCATATTCCAGCGAAACACTGCGCTTCAATCCTTTCCTAGACCCTCGAACAATCCATTGAGAATGGGTACACATAATATCAACTTATTGGTGTCAAACACCAAGTTTCTAGGATTCTTCTCAGACCCTCAGAGTATATAAATATGTGTAACAAACATGAATGGACATATTGAAATCTACGAAAACTTAGAATTCATCTATATCTCACCATAAATCACCCATTTTGTCATGGCTAAAACTTGCTTTGACCAGCACTGGGTGAGGGTTACCTTTGTCAGCTCTTTGGAGCGGTCGAAGATGCCAAAGCGAAGTTTTCTGGCCTAGCTGCAGGGAGTTGGAGATATCATATACAAGCATTAGCAAGCAGCTCAAATGTAGAAAGGGATAGAAAGGGTTCATTGAAGTTCGATGTATCACAAGACTATAGGTTTAGACGTTCAATGACAATTCTAGCTTCGGTTGTTGGATTGCAATATTCGATAGAACTTATGAAGTTGAAGGTTGCTGGTTCTAATACGTTTTATTGGGACGCTAATCAGTGAACATGGTGATTATATGAAGATGCTGTAATCCTTCATCATTGATTTTCAACAGGTCAAACCCTCTAGTGGCAAGGGCCAAGATGTGAAGGTCTCAAGTCCTTTTTCCTTGGACAACCTAGGATGGTCATTTCTTCTTTGAGTTGGGATGATTTGGGGGTGCCATTCTAGTAACAAATTATGACTTCTTGCAATAAACCTATAATATGCCGATCTGGAGGGGATTCATTCTTGGAAATGGGTGAAATGGTTCGTTCTTGGATAGTGCAATGCCTGGGGCCCTGAGGCCCTGGGCGACACCGCCATGGCCTGGGAACTGAGTCTGTGCTGAGGTCATGGTGGGGAAGTGGTGAACTGTCGTTTTCTGTCTTGTTCTGCTGAGACCTCACTGGTAGATGCTAAAGCTTGATCCTCTTGTTGGACCTAGCGTCGGTGGATGACGCCAAAGAAATCGATCATGGCTTCCAACCAAAGTTGACTTGGCAAAGCTTTCCATGCTGTGGTGCGCAATGCTAGGTGGACACGTCCACAACTACGAGCAGAGCAAAACGGGGCTTGCAAGCCCCGTTTAACCTCAATGTCTCAGTGATATTCAGGGTTGCAGCTCACTTACTTAACATTCAAACTCATCACGACATTGTCCATTGCGAACTGGGCGAAGTAACTCACTTTCTGATCGTTTGTAAAACGTAGACGCACATGTTACAACCTAACAATTTGGGGCATTCCAGCAAAACCCAGCAGCACGTTAGGAACGTTGGCCACCCACAAATCAAATCAAATTGGATAAATTGGATATTTCGAACATCTAGAGCTGTAAATACTATGACTGTTACTGTACTATTGTTTTATGTGGTTTTTTTTGACATATCATTCTTTTCGGGATTTGACATTTACATAACTTTCCGCCTCAGTCCGATGGCCAAATTTCGAGGATTTGAGACGTCACCATTTTTGGACCCATTTAACTCGGTGAAAGCACCATTCGCATCTCAGTTTATTTTTCAGCATCAAGAGTCAAATAACCTTTATTTCTGAAACCTATTCAGAAATTTCAAACTTGCTCTCCTTCCAAATCAATCCACGAGACCAGAATTGGTTGGAATTTCTTCCCCGACATGTTTGTCATGTTGGATCATCATCCAATGTTTAAACGGCATAAATGAATAAAGAAGTGAAACGCAGTGAAGCCCTCCACCAAGGATATCATGTGTCCAGCTCATCTCACTGCATTTATATACTCTCTGTTGTTTATATATATATTATATAAATATAGATAAAACTACAATAGATAATACAATTATTGGTCATAAATAAACTGCATTATAATATTCACCAACTTATAATGTGAATCAGCCTATATGAGTAATTGCCTAAATCCCAAAAAACAACGCACACATGCTCTTGCCAGCTGTATCCTAGACCATCTGTTTTTTATACTTGTTAGTTATATATATATACGGTTATATACGTACTATATATCCTATATATCCAAATAGTTAGTTAGTTAGTTAGTTAGTCAGTCAGTCAGTCAGTCAGTCAGTGAGTCAGTGAGTCAGTGAGTCAGTCAGTCAGTGAGTTAGTTAGTTAGTTTAGTTAGTTAGTTAGTTAGCTAGTTAGTTAGTTAGTTAGCTAGCTAGCTAGCTAGTTAGTTTAGTAAATTTAGTAAGTTTACTGGTTGGTTGATATGGAGGTTTCCTGAAACGGGGGGACCCTCAAATCATCCATTTTTCAGAGGATTTTCCATGAAATAAACCATCCGGCTATTAGGGTATCCGATTTATGGACCCCCCCATATCGGTCCAGCCTGGTCGAACATCCAGAGTTGTTTGCCCTTGATGGCCTCCTGTGGAGTGAAGGACATGGCACCGTCGATCATCACCATGTAATTCCTGCGGCACGGCCGATGCGCGCATCGCGCTAAAGGTGTGGATGCTTGAGGTGTGTTAATTGCTATGGTCTATGGTTGTTGGTAGTTAAGCACTGTGGTTATTAGTTAGTTAGTGTGGTTACTAGTTAAGTACTATGGTTAAGTTTTATTATATCATAGTTATTAATCTTGACTACAATGGTAAGTATTGTCAATGTTGATTACGCACAATGTGAGTTACTAATATGGTTACTAGTTTAAATTCCACCGTTAGTATTATTAATTTTCACTAGTATGATAGGTATTGATTATATAGTGGGATGGTATTTCACTAGTAATAAGTTAGTAACAAGCAACACAAAAAGGTTACCTTGACTACTGTAATTAGTGTTGACTACCATCGACAACCTTTCAAAGCTGATTACAATGGTCAGTATTATTAGTGCTGACTACAATGATTGGTGTTTTCAGTTGACCTCAATGACTTATGATGCTGTATTGCTGGTGATGTCGCTTGCTATCATTATCGTATTGTTTAATTTAATTTATTTCAAGAACAATGCTAACAGTATGTCTTAACTGTTTCCTTTGTTCTTGTTATTTTAGTGCTTCATGTGTTTCACAAGTTGCCACTTGGTCTCCGGGACCCCTCTGATTCAACAACTGGTTGGTGGTCTCAACCACCCTGAAGGATGGCCAAAATTATAAGCAAAATAACAATTTTGATAGGTTCATTGGTACCCAAAATTGTCGAGCCCCATTTGGGAAAAACTGATGATGATGATGATGATGATGAGGATGAGACATCTGAAACTAACACATCTGGCTATTGAATATGGAGGGGCGCCAGGGTGTTTACTGAAAAGGCATCCTTGATCAAGGCTTCACATCTACCGGGCCACTCAAGAGTGGCTTCCTGGATGTGCGGTCGTTTTGTGGAATTCAAAGGCACTGTCTAGCAACATGCGAATTTGACTGACAGATAGCTATTCCAAAATCCAATGTTTCGCAATCTTTTTCCCCACATGGCAATAACTTGTGGTACGTATTTCCACCCATTTTGGATACAGCCATGCTGTTTAAACCCGACAAATGCTGTAACCTCCGTCTGTGTTTTGGTATTTCACCATGGCAGTCCGAGGCTCTCAGTGATGAACATGTCATGATGAAAACCCGCCACAGGCATGTCAATGTCCACTCGTTCCACCAACTTGCCTAGGAAACAGTTTCCCTCCAAACCCCGCGTTCGCCCACACCCAAATAACACACCCAAACAATATCATTTACTTGCCACCAGAGGATGAATGAAAACACTGGCTATACGCAGCGATTTTGACTTTAGGTCTTTTAGGATTTAGGGCTTTAAGTTAGGGTTTAGGCTTTCAAACTTTTAGGCTGAGGGTTTAGGTTTTTAGGATTTTAGGTTTTGGAAAATAAAAAACGCTAGCCCTACGCCGGGATTTGAGCATGTCCCCTTGGATATGCGGGATCCGATGCGGAAGCAAACAAGTGGGGTTTGCAGCGAACAGTTTGGAATAGGATCATTTTCTCGACTTAAATCGCAGCTCTCTTGCGATCGCCTTGATGCTGCAACCTGTGTGGGTGATTAGTGGCACTGAGCTCAATCAGCCTGTCTGATTCCGTAGCTATAAGTAAATATTGACCAAAAAAACACGGTATAGATCTACCCGATTACACTTGTGTACATTTTCTGGGTTAAAACTATATAGGCCTTTAGCCAATATGAAGAAAAACACTGGGTTTACTTGGCAGTTTCAGCCATGACTTTGGGATGAAGAACATTTGTCCAGAATGCGTACCTCGTCCCCAACCACCAGCCCCTTGTTCTAACTTTTGTATATTTCTGAACATTTACATAGGGCTTTACACGTGTACGCATAAATAAATAAATATATATATATGTATATATATATATGTATATATATATATGTATATGTATATGTATATGTATATGTATGTATGTATGTATGTACGTATGTATGTATGTATGTATGTGTATATACATATATATATATATGGACTTCGGTTAGACCTCAATTTTGGGACATACCGGAACATAAGAATCAATCGAAGATGCATAATGATGCATATGAGAGGTCGCAGAAAAGATGCAATATCTGGAAACCGGACACCACATTCAGGGGAACTACTGGAGGAAGTGTCTTCAACCTATCCCAAAACCATCAATATCTTGTGGTCAGTTGCTGTAGGGAACACAACCGAGCTGAGCAAGATGCCGTTCACAATCTTGCCGGCGTAGAATTTCCTTGCAGCTTGCGAAGCTTCTAAGAAACATCCATCAAGTCCATAATGTGATAAACCCCATGGCATTAACCCCGTCATGTCACAAGGGATGGTTTATCATTGGGTTTTGCATTAGCTGGAGAGAGGGGCCAGGGGGAAGCCTTTTTCAGATGCCCCAAACAGCTCCACCTTAAGATGGGCATCACGAGTCGACAAGGACTTGTTCCCTGATTCACGTGTCTTGCGCCCGACTTCATGAAAAAACTCAAAAAATGAAGTATGAAGAACTGGAAATTATACTCAATGGGCAAAGTCGGACCTGACGATAATGATTTCTCATGTCAATGACCATCAACATATGTGGCCTTATCAATTAAATTGGTGTGGGAGAAACATCTTGAAATATTATTGTTGTTTGGTTATCGCAAGATAACCGATCCAACCACAACAAACACGGTAATATGACAAGCAGCAACGGAATACCACGTGTCACACATTGGGACCCACAAAGAGATTGAGCAATTATTTGGGAAGGTCCACAAAACATCACTAGGCTAAATAATGTTTTCTCCCATTACAAACTTGATAGCTGCAGGTTGATTCTTAAAAGACGTTTATCTTATTGACAACTACAGTCTCTTGTGATTCAGTATAGTCCATGTATACATACTTTGTGTATATATATATGTCTATGTACTTATAGATAGATGTACTTTTATATATATATACACATACAAATAAATCTACATATATATATACATATACATATTATATACATATATACATATAGATTGACCCCCAATGCTGTGGGGCTTGGACCTGGTCAGCAAACCAACTTGGCAGATCGTGGAGAACACGCCAAGTTTCTCGGGCATTTTTCGGCCGTGGAAGAGGATATCACCATTTTTCTGATCAAACTTCGGATGAGCCTCACAGGAGATGTCCCCTTCAAGGCCCCAACATGGCTATTTTCTTGGGAACATGACGGTGAACTGAGCTTGGTCCATATTCAATCCCAAACATGGGATTTAAATGATTTAAATCATTCATAATCATTCTATACATTCACCAAGGATTTCAGAACTTCCCAAACATGGATCCAGTACACGGAAGATTTTGCTGTCCCAACCAACATGTAGGACCAAACATTTGGCTGCCAATACTCAAACAGCAGCGCCCAGGAATCTACAAATTCTATATAGTGGTTTTCAATTAAAAAAGGGTATGTATGTATATGCTCCATTTGTGTACTCTACCCGAAATGTATACTATATCTGTATTAAGGCACTGGCTTTTGGTGACGAATCATGTCGGAATATCAATTTTGCTTTCTAAAGATAAGTTGTTTCATTGCGGGCACCCCAGGCGCAATTTATTTCAGCTGATTCCTAGGCCCAAACGGCATCACTGAACTGGACTCCCATGTTAAGGGGATCAGTGGTTGTGTGCGAAAAAAATATACACCGTAAATTATAACATCAATCATTGTATTATAGAAATATATCAAACGTCGATTGCGTGTGAACTTGTCAATCTGTAAGGACCATTTCGGTATTTTCACTGGCTGTCTGGCTGAATCCCACAAGTCGTTTTAATTTGCACTGGCATGGGGGTATCTTAGAATGGTGGATCCCCAAAGTCACCATGGGTTTCAATACTATATATGGTCTAGTTTAGGATGATTTGGGGGTATCCCTATTTTAGGAAACATCCAGATGTGTCCCTATCAATTGCATTACCACTATGAACTGACTGCAAATCAATAGTCCGCAATGGTCACTGGTTTTGATTTCGCGCTTCATGCAGAGTCATTGCGAGACTCGCAGGCGTGGAACTTAACAAAACAAATGGGGCAACCCCCTCAATTCACCAACCGATGAGGTCTTGACAGTTTGTTAATCACCCATTATCAGTTTAATATTTGGATATATTTGGTGTTCTTGCCCGAACAAAAAATGTAGAAATTTGGCCTGGTTGGCTACAGTCCATCCATTGAAACAACAATTTTGGTTTTTCCCGAATGCGTAGCAAGGGTTCCCGTTTCACTCTGGGGGTCTGGGGGTTGAGGGTGTGTTCGCTCGACGTTGCGTTCACGATCGCAACCGTCCGCAACCGTTCGCAACGGTTCGTGTGAGGACCGTATGGCCGTGCCTATGGGAAGTTCTGCAGAGGTGGTCATTTTTGGAGGTTTCAGACGTGTCGTTGCTTCGTTTCGCGTGGCAGGCGTGGCACTTCGTGACATTCAGACGTGTTTTGCAGCGTGTTGAAAATCGTTTTGCGTGGCAGGCGCAATACTTGTGTGACGTTTTCAGAAGATGTGTTGCAGTTTTCGTGGCAGGCGCAGCACTTTGGACGTGTCCATCGTCATTTTTCGTGGCAGGCGCAGCACTTTAGACGTGTCCTGTTGCGTGTTTTTTGTAAATCGCATTGGCAGGGCTGCGTCAAGTGGTGACAAGGTGCAAATTCCGTGGCAGGCATGGCATTTTCTGACATGTGCTGAAAATTGACGGAAGCCTCGCACGAAACATCGATTTTGAGGTTGCAAATTTTCAGGTTCTAAGGAAAACTCGTAGGAACACGTCAATTTTGAAGCTGCAAAGTGTGAACATTGGAGGAAGTCTCGCGCGAAATGCTCGTTTTGGTGCTCCCACCTGTCTCTTCTCGCGTGTCTGGTTTTCCCGTGGCCTCGCCGTGTCTATGGGGGAAGCTGCAAAACTTGTCTTTTTGTCGTGTTGCCAACTGTGAAAATTGCCGGACGTCTCCCACAAAATGCTGGTTTTTCTGCATCCACGTGTCTTGTCTCGAGTCGCTTGTTTTTCTGTGGCGTCGCCGTGTCTATGGGGGAAGCTGGAAAACCTGTCCTTTTCGAATGTTTCCAAGCAGGTTGTCATTTTGTTTTGCGTGGCAGACGTGGCACTTTTTGACATTCCAACCTGTTTGATGATGTTCACAAAATTGCAAAATTGGAGGAAGTCTCGCACGAAATGCTGTTGTTTCTGCATCCACGTGTCTTGTCGCGCGTCTCTCGTTTTCCTGTGGCGTCGCCGTGTCTATGGGGGAAGCCGCAAAACCTCTCCTTTTCGAATGTTTCCACGCAGGTTGTCATGTCGTTTTGCATGGCAGGCGTGGCACTTTGTGACATTCCAACCTGTTTGATAACGTGTCGAAAATGTCAAAATTGGATGAAGTCTCGCATGAAATGTTCGTTTTTCTGCACCCACGTGTCTCGTTTCGAGTCTCTGGTTTTCCTGTGGCGTCGCCGTGTCTATGGGGGAAGTTGCAAAATGTCTCCTTTGCCAAGGTTTCAAATTTCGAATGTACTGGACTGTTGGTTCAGTGAGGCTTGCGGTTTGTAAAGATATGGCAAGAGTGCGATTATGTTGAAGGTGGAAAGTTGTTGTGTGGACTCATACAGATTTCACACAGTGTCGTTTATATATTTTTGATTCTGTGTCGGCAAACATTTCGGCTGTGCTCAATTGCAAGAGAACGTCAAGCATTCACAGTTCATGACAGAATTAACATTTTCACCTCCTGTCATAATCGATCCTTTAACATCGTTATCTTCCACATACGTGTGAGCATTCGGGTTCGTGGGCTTAATCTTGTTGTTTTTTTGCCCAGCAAAAATCCAATACTTCAACTAAGGACGCCCAAATACGAATCCCGGTAACCTCACAAAATTGTTTCAAAGAACTACATAGTTCAACTCCCCGCACAAAAAAAATCCTTGCCACGTTTGCACCACAAAAATTATTTTTGCTAGACTTCCATTCCAGCTTCCCGAGGTTTGGTTTTGAAAAACATGGATGTCACACGCATTCCTGTTGGTGAGTGGTTCATTCGCAGCATGAGCGACATGGCCCTGCAGGAGGATTCACCAGATTTTGGCCTTGACATGGAAACACCCAGTGTGCTAGT